CAAACTTAAAATTTCTTTAAGAACTTTTTAAAAGGTAATAAATGTGGTGTTCCCAGTCAATACCTACATATTAATTAAGCGTCAAAAATATCTTTATTAAGTTATTGTTGATATTTTTCCGGGGGGAGGGGGCGATTTTTGACATAATTAAGCAGGGTTCTTTGAATGATTGACAATAGTTAAGGGGAGAGGGGAGTAAAATGTTGACCAAATTAATGGACGGCTTCTTACCATACAACCCTGTTAGACCGGGTGTCTCGACCGGTTTTGAAGTTCGTCTCGGCTTCTACCTCAAGTAGTTAGAGAAATTTTTCCTGTCTATGTTAGATATGCCATAGATATTGTACACAATTTTAGTATTAGAATTTGCTTGGTAACAAATTCACTAAGCTAAAATTGTATGCGTTACGACTGTCAATTTCAAAGCTCCCCCCCCCTAAAAAAATTAATTAATTAATAAATCATCACACAAACCTTGCATCCTACCCATGGGCGTTACCCATGGGCGTAAGACCTACCTTGACTCAATTCCACAGGAGGCGAACTTCCAACTTAGCGCCGTCCATCCTCACATCTATAATGTAACGTTAGTGCTAAACGTTATCAAAAGTGCCACCCAGGGTGGTCACTCCCTTCGCCCCCCCCTCCCCCGAGGTTCGCCCCTTGCGATACCGATTCCCGGAGGTCCTGGTTGATCGTCTTAAAACGACGATTTCGAGTATCATAAGCAGACATATGAATAGTATTGGGGGACCCTCTTTCCTTCAATTGGTCTTCTTTTTGTGACCCTCCGGAAACTTGTTTAAATCAATATATATATATATATATTTTTAATGACTTATATTTTGGGACCCCATTGTTATAGCCCAGCTCTGCGTGTAGACTTTGATGACCTCAATTTCGGTTCCACGCGGAGTTGTATCGTAGAGTTATATCTCCTAGTGTTATTGCTATGTCGTCACCAGTTCACTTAGTTCAACATCCTACCACTCCTTCCACACCTCCCTTGATTGGGAAAGTTTGTTTAACTTTGCCAGAAGGGTCTATAATACAGAGGGGCGAAAATTATGATCTCTGGCGATTGAATTTCTAGACTTTCTATTTTTAGAAAAGTTGGATTCACTGTAAATAAGACGGTCGACTGTGACCGGTAGACGTACCAGACATACCAGGCGTACCGGAGATCTACGAGGCCTACAGCCTACAAGGCTTACCAGATTTTTTGACTGTCTTTGTGTGTGTGTGTGTTACTATCTACTTTCTATCGGTATACGTATTCAAGTGCTGTACGTAATTAGCTTTCATTTCTATTTATTTGAATTTTAATTTTGTTAAATTTGTTAAATTTTTTTTTTTTTGCTTTGATATCAGCATTGTTAGTATAAATAAATTGATTATTGTCACTAGCACTAGCGTTGGTATCGTTGTTATTTAGTTTTTGGTTGTTGTTTTTTGTAAACCTGTTTTCAGTGCTTTGTTACGTATTATTCTTCTAACAAGGCAAAATCTCAATCAAACTATTACATTTGTTTAACCTTAAAGCGGTACGTAGAAACGTGATAATGCATGATGAAAAATAAAAAAGTCATATAATGATGCCGTTGCCTAGTTGCAGGTTTTGAAATGGATACCATCAGAGAAGAAAGCAAATTTTGTGTTCTATGTGTTTTGTTACAATAGAAATATCTGCAGCGCAACTGTCCCAACCAGTGGCATAGCTAGAGGTTGTGCCATCCGTAGGTGGGATGAGCTTTTTGCTCCACGCGAAAACAAAATAACTCTGCATTTGGCTAAAAATATAAAGAGAAGCAAGTGCTGCTCGGGGCGGGCCCCCCCCCCCAAGCACCCCTTCCTACGCCACTGGTCCCATCCATCACGTAGGTAGTTGGCTCAGTGTGGTGATGGTGTAGACGTGTTACCTTGCAACACACTCACACATCAGGCTGCGGAGAACATGACGTGATACTAGTAGCAAGTATTATTCCCACGTGCAATCTCGCAGTACAGAAAAGACTATGTAAAGCTATGACTCGAAAATGTAAGGTACATATCATTATAGTACCATTGACCATGTGATTTTGGAATGACAAAAATATGCCTCCTTGGCTCCATAGCTCCTAGTCCAAAAAAATTTACCTTTTGAGACGATTAGGATACTTCAAAATGTAAATGATTTATTTTGTGTTTAAAATCCTCATAAATCTTCTTGTTTCATGAAAAGCAAATGTTCAAATCAAAGGTAAACTCTCAATACCACCGGACGGCTTTGGTGTGGGGCTGTTAGGGGGAAAGGGGTTCCACTTGACCTTTACTTATTGCTCGTTTTCTTGTAGACATTCGGGACGCACACAAAATAAAAATGACCAACAGTTACGTTAAGTATTTTTTAAATAAAAATTAATTTAGTCAATTAATTCATTCATTTAAACTTCGAACATTTGGTTTTGACATTTCTAGATCAACTCCACGCTGGGGAAACACCAACCAGGTCAGCCATTTAATGCTAACGTCCTAAACAAACAAGAGGAGATTAAACCGTTGGCATACCTCCTGTGTTTAACCCTAGCACACAGCGGTAGATTGGCTTGTTGATTGTTAAGTCATAGCTTAGCAGCTTCATTACATTATGTGCTGCATTTGTGGTAGGGGTGGCTGAAACTGTACGGGTTGTTGGCGTCTGGGGTGGGAAACGATTTTTGTCGCCCCCATCCATGAAAAAACCCTGAGTTGACCGAAAATGCTGTCAGGGCGGACAGCCCCCTACACACCCACTTCCTACGCCAGTGCGTGGGGTGGTCAGTGCTGTCTGATGACGTCGAGCGATTTGGGGTGCGGAAGGTAGTCCAATTTCAATATTACTGTCAGGAGAAGCTAGCAACTATGGAGAAGCTAGATTTTGCGACACCCGGGGAGACCCTTGAATTTTCCGCCCCTGACCCACAAAATATACAAAATGCACAACAAACATAAGCCTTGTATATTCTTCTTACGACATATTGACTGGCTTTGACCTCCCACTTCCCCATTAAGAGCTTACGGGACTGTAGGCGTCTCGTTGTTTTTTTCCCCAACTTCATCAGAAACTGACAACAAGCACAGTCTCTGTCACGGCAGTATTCCATGCACTGGGACACACAATTTAGGGTGATCACTGGCCCTACTCCTGACTTTTCATGGACATTCCCGATCATACTAAAATAAAAGATAAGATCGCTTGGTCACAACGTTACCTGGATAGTGGCATGGAAAGTCAGGTCACCTTAACCACAGGTAACTCATAGTTTGGTGTCGCGTGAATTTGACACAGCGTATCATGATTTAGTTAGAATAAACAGTTTTATTGCAAAAAGAAGGGGGAAAAAAGGAGTGTATAAAAAGTACCACCAGACCGCAGACCGGTAATTTGAGAAACTCGACTTCAGTTGACCCAAGCGGGCCCAGCTGATTCTGCCGCAACGACGAGAAGTGACGTAACGAAGACGGTGCGGGTTTTCCTATCAACACGCGACAGCTGTCTTTTTTAGAGAGCTATTTTTTCCTGCAACCACAACAAAAATAACACAGTTTAATCTAAAGGTCGACCCTGTAACCTATATTTAAATCTGCCGTTAATGATAGTTTAACTTGGACATAGTTCACGGCCTTTTTTTTTTACAACTTCGGTTCTTGTTTGTACTAAACCAGCTCTCCTATGAAAGCCCTGACAGCAATGGGGGGNTCGTGAGTACCACAGCCAATGGCTTTGAGTGTTTAGTTTCAATCATGTTCGCCTTAACCACGCTCTACTCTAAGCCACCGGTACACATGTCAAGATGCACAGATAAGGATTTGCCAACAGTGCTACGTATTTCAGCAGACGTTAAACAACTCCTTAAACCAAAGCTGTTTTGCCTAATCTTAACGACTGGTTCAAATCTTTTAACACCCGAGGCCAGAAGACTTATCCCCTGTATGCCACTGCCATTTAGGCTACCCCTCTGCCTCTGGGCCTTGGTTGTCGGGTAGCCAGAATTCGCTCATTTAGGCTAATCTTACAAATAGTTTTTTTTTCTTCTTCTTATTTCGATGATGTGAATGTGGAATCGGAGTTTAGCTGCACTGTAGCTTTTTTTCTTTCTTTTCTTTTCAACTCACGGTGAGGGCCTTAGTTATGTAAAGGATTAGAATAATACTGTATATAAGTAATACAACAGTACTGCAGCTGTAGGCATATTCCTTCGACAGAACAGTAATTATATTGCCTGCCATTGTAATTAACTTATGCTAGAGTTTGATGGGTTCCTTATTTATTTATTATTAAATCTTTCTACTGGCATTTCCATCGTGTATGTTGCATTTCCATCTTGTTTTTTTGACACACGTGGCTCTATCGCTCAGTTGATCGCCCCCCCCCCTCCCGACGTCATTTGGGTAGGGCAGGGTGGGGCATTTGCCCCAATGAATTAGCAGGTTTTATTTAAATTGCTATGTACTGTGGCGCCTCCAGTGATTAACTTACCAAGCCGACAAAGTTTTGGTTTTGCCCGCTCCCCCGCGAAAAACTGAAATGACGCCCCTCTCCCACGTGACAGTCTGGTCTCGTGTCAGCTGTTATCAATGCACGTTTTTTATTTGTGTATATGGAATGTTATGATTGATGGTGAGTAGTATCGGTAGTCTTGTGTTCTGAATGGTTGGAATTAAGATTCAATGAACAATGTAAGAGCATTTAATGTTGTGTTAAAACGGGTAGGCAATGCATTTTAAGAAATTTTAAATTATTTTCAATTCTAGCTATTCTAGTATTCTTCGATAGAAAGTTATTTTTTTTAAATATTTAATTTTTATTACCAGTTAACTTGGGGAGGATTAAGTTATAGACCTCTATGCAGAGCTTGGCTTAAGTAGGTCTTTATGCAGATGGGAAACGGATTGGTCCATAATCTTCTTGTGATGGTACGTGACATAAATGACTGCGCATGCGCGTAATTCTATTTTGCCGTGTCTTCCCACTTTGTTTTCATTTGTGCACTCGAAAAAAACGGACGTTTAATAATACTTCGCTGGTGTGAATTCTCTAGAAGTCATACATTTCCCCGTTGAAAGCTTAAAAATGTCTCAACTTGGATCATATGCCTCCGATCTCAAGTAAGAGATCTTTTATTTATTTCTCAAATAATGAATTATAATATACAGTAATGTTTGAAACAGAAACATGTGTTGTTGTTAGAATTTTAGGTATAAAAGTATAGTCCGCCTTCGTTCGGCTAACTTGATGAACATTGAGTAACACGAGGCTGAAGTAACTGAATAATTTTAAATCGAATAAAAGAAACATTGCAAAATTTGTTTTGAATGCAGCAATAAAATATGGATCATTTTTTCATGCAGTCGGTAGAAATAGGCTGATCGAGATTGGGCAATATAATTATGGTAAATTATAGACTATACCCCATGTCCATACTATAATAATACTCATGACTATAGTGTCTATAGACTAGTGTATAGTAGTATAGATTATTAGTAGATTGTAATAATATAATTATTATGAATTTGGAAATATAATTATGATAAACATAAAGGCAAAGGGCTTAGGCTTATATGAAGTTTTCCACTACTCCAAAATTCTGACTTTACGTAGTATATACATTAAAATTAAAATAGATATAGGCCAGCCCACCCCAGCTTGCAGCCAGTGCACTGCTCCGCATAGGCATAGGCCAATTCGGTCGATAGGCGATAGGATTATTGTAAACAAGCAGGAAATCAATTTCTACATTAAACCCAATGGCTTTTTACTTACATATGCCTTAAACTTAAAATAAAAGCAGCTACAATGCTGAAAGACCACACTGTATCAGTGTAGTGTAGTAAAAAGTATCATATTTATAGTATCAACATAAGGCTGCGGCTTTCGGACCGGGATGCAAGAGTGAGAGGTTGGGTTTAACGGTTTAATAAAAAAAATATTAAAAATATTATTGTTGGGCTTGTAAGAATCAAGAAAAAACTTGGTATCAAATGAAAGATAATTTAATAGAAATGCTATTCGAATGTCATTTGTGATAATTTATTTTAGTTAAACTGAAGAAGTAAGTTTACAAACATATAATAATATGAATATGATGATAAATATATTCAATTAAATTATCTTTCATTTGATAACAAATTTTGTCTTACTCTTACAAACCCAACAATAACATTTTAAATATTTTTGTAAATAAACCCAACTTCTCACTCTTCTCTGGTTCCCTTTAGCCACTTGGATCATCATAATTTAATTTATGATTATAATTATGGAAGTCTTTAGTCTTAGCATTTTAGATTTAGATTAGAAGACAGGACTTTTTAACTTGAGGGCTTTTCAAAATTCTATAAAGTAAACCTGGTGACGTTATCATAATATATTTTTATTTTATTAATTGCTATAGATACAGTTGTACATGTCCCCAAAGTCAGTTGCCTGTAATAGGCCTAATTGCTTTAAAATACAAAACCTGTTAGGCTGAATCATTTATTTACCTCACACACAAATATTAATGACTACTTACTTACTATAGTAGAAAACAGGTCTATGCCTATGGGGCTAAATAATGTAATAAATTGTACTTCATGATAAATTTGTTTCTTAGGCTAAGCAATGAAAGCTGATACTGCTTTTAAATAAACTAAACTGTAATGTGACGAAAATAACACAGTTGCAATATCGGCCTACTTATCAATTCAACTGTATGAGAAATAAATTGACACAATTTTATGTATGTATACTATTTTTAGATTTCCTGAATGAGCCCTGGCAATAGGCTTAGAATGAATACTTGTGCAAATTATGCTATGAAAAATTCTTGGTCCAATGGCTCAAAATTCGTAGCAAATTAAGTTTTTCTAAATTAAAATACTTATTTTTTTTGTTTTTTTTATTCTTATGTCAGAAATATTGAGGCCACTGTCTTAGATAGTTGACTATTTAATAATGCCTAAAGTGATTGAATTCTTTCTCCCATGATTGTGTGTTGGGAACATACAGGAACACTATTCTAAATCAACATAAAAGAAAAATGTAATGCTTTAGTAAACTTTTGCCTCAAAAGTAATGGTTAATGTTAATGAATTTTCAATGTAACAAAACCAAAAAATATCTAGTTTGAAAGTAAAATACCATAATGCCAGTGATATAAAAACACATGTGACAATGCCTATATCATCAGGTTCTTGAGTATCAAATAGTTATAATAAATTTTATGAGGTGCAAATATGTTTCTTCTGCTCAACTATAGCTCAGGGACTATCTTTGCCTGCACTCACAGACATTGTGTTGGATGAGATGAAATATAACCAACCTTTAAACGACCAGTTATGCTCTCATGTTATGAATCATCCCCTACATCAGACTATGCTCTGATAGCCATCTATGAGAGGCTTAATAAAAATTCCTAGGTTATTCTAGAGTTGTTAGACTAATAGTTTCTTTACCAAATTTTCTAGGTATGCCAAAGATTATTTTTTGCATCCTTTTGGAATAATTGTCCAAATAATTGGCTTGTCTTGAAAGGGGTACCGGTAATAAATTTATTGTGAGATAATCTAATTATCTGAAAAAATCATTATCATGTACTTTACAATTAAAAATAATTATTATTTTATTTATGTTTCTCTTAAAATGTATTTATATTTATTTCTTAACTAAGGAATTACTATTTGCTTCCTTTCCATCCAGGCTGTTCTGTGTTCTTCAATTATCACAATAGGCTAGGACTGCCTAGAGAGCACAATGGCAACAACTTGGCGGTCCATAAAATTAGGATTTTAAATCCCTTGAACGTGAACATATAAATTTATATAAGCAAAATATTTAACTGAACAGAATTAAATGAAAAAATATATATCAACTTTACAGTTTTCTAATGCTGAAATAGTTTGAATTTGGGGAAAAAAAGGAAATACTACTTTTTGAAAATGGATATTTTAAAAGATGATCATAGTGACAACAGCAATGCTAGCAGTGACCTGAGCAGTGATGGGGAGATTGACCACATCCTGTTGTTTCCGATAACTGATGTCGATGTTGATGCCTCCTGTGAATCTCTTGCAGATCAGCAAAGCACAAGGAATTCAACTCACCGTTTACGACATGATAGTGAGGATGAACCGGTGAAACCTTTCATTACTCTTAGAGAAAGAAGATTACTAAAGGTAATTATAAAAAAATGTATCACATCTTAGGAAAAAATAGTCCTGATTTCTTAAAACTTGCATTTAATGTAGAAAAACTGATATTTTAAGTAATGTATCAAATTACAGATCTTGTATCTAAACAAAATTTTTGACAGAGATCTGTTAGTAGCTACTCAACACCATTCACTATCGTTAATATATAAGGGAAATAACCCCTTGATCTACAGTCGTCAGTTTTTAATCACATATAATTTTGATATTCTACAAGAAATTGAAAAATCTAAATGATTTTTTAAAAAGCTCTAAATATAGAATTGATGATTTAATGTAAACTTTCCTCTCAGGCATACTCAGGTGTATTGCCAGAAAGTAACCTGAAACCTTTGGCCATTTCAAAAGCCAGAGAGATCCAATCTGCCACTGATGCAAGCACTAAACAGAGACCTCAGTTCAAACTGAAGCCAAAATTTGAAAGAATTATGAAAAAGCTGCGTAAAGGAGTTGATCATTGGGAGAAGTACCATTTAGATGATATTGAAACAGAGCTGGCTATTAGACATCGATACAATCCCAGAAGGAAGACATGGACACAGGACCACGTTCTAGTAAAAATGGAAAAAAAGGTAAAACCTGATATTAACACTGAGAAGTATTAATATGCATCAAATATCAAATTCTTGCTACTCTTTCACCTCAAATTAAAAATTTATCATATTTCTTGATGAAATAGAAATGATCGATTTTTAATAAACATTTTCTGTATGGTTATTTTAATTCAAGTGATTTATTATGCTTTAATAATAATCTCCACAATCATATGAAATAAAATTTTAGGACAACATTGTATTAAACATTTTTTATTTAAATTGATAGCAGTGATGGAAAAATGTTCTTGTTTTCTCTTAGTTATTATATTTCTGTATTTACTGTTTTATTTTCTCCGATCAATAAACGATGCTGCTGGGTAGCCGTCCATGGCTTGACATGTAAATAGTTCTTGAATGTGTGGAGTGAATAAACATTTGTTTTGTTTTATTTAATTAATGTATGTTAATTTTTAAGTTCATAATTATATTTGTTAAATTGTATGTACAGCGTGGTGAGCCCAGCCCAAGGCTGGTGTACAGTGCTATATAAAACGACCGTTAATAATAATAAGTTAAATTGTGGATAATTCAAATCCGTTTGCTGAAATTTGATTAGCTGTTCTTACTGTTAAAAAAATTTACTTAAAAATGATAACTGAACAAATTATTTTTTCTTTTCTTGACAGCCATTTACTAGAGGTGCCATGAGGCAGTGTTTCAGAGTGTAAGTACAAATAATATCTCAGATCATACATGCCAACCTGTGCAGTTTACCCTACTTTGAACAGTTTTTATACATTTGCCAAATTGTACGGCTGCATAGGCTTTCGTACAGTTCTTTTACTGGATTTAGAAAAGAAATATTTTTGCACAAGACACGTTCAAAACTGATGGTGCGATAGATTCAACAAAGTACATGAAGAAGCTTAAATTCTATTTCTTCATTCAAAATGACCAAGTTGATGATGAGTAGGCCATCTTAATTGAGAAATGGTGCAGTTTAATTGATATTATTCATTGATAGTAAGACAGCATAGTACTAATTTCAGAAGTAAACCTTAATTACAATCCATTTGTATAATTCTTATCAAGAACTGGATTGTTAGTAACTGTTCTTTTAATTTATGTTAAATAATGAAATATATTTAATATCACTGTCAATGACTAGCATTAGTCATTAGTCCTGTTTTTTACAAAGACATGACTTAATACCTCTGTTACTGGGGAAAATAAGATTATAAGTTGAAAGTTACATCGATAACTTTGTCAAGACAGAAGAACTTTATTTTACTTCGTTAATTTAAATGCAGAACAATTAACAGAAGACATGTTTGTAATTGCATCTAAATTGATATCTAATCCATCATCTGAGTCCATTTGTAATAAAACTTCTATGGACCAGTGTAAAAATTTTGATGAAAATTGGACATACAACAAGTTATTTCCATTCAAAAGATGTTAGGTATCTATTTACGAATGATGGAAACATGCGCACCACGAAGGAGAGACTATTAATTTTTATTCATGAATTCAAAACACATAATAATGTTAAAAAATGTATAAATTATAATTTTTTCAACCTTGCTTTTTTTTTTGCTACAGTATTTTTAAGAGTGAAAGTACAGTTTGGTCATTGTGTTGTAAAAGTACCTATATGAAACTTCAATATTTAGAATTAATTTTTAAAATGTATTAAATGTTTCCCCCAGGAAAAAGAAGCATTCATCTATGTGCAACTCAGCTTTGGGAATAGATAAGAATGCCAGCAACTATGTGGCAAAGAGCTACATTGAAGTTGTAGACAGAGAGGTTTATTTTCAAGATGTTAAACTCCAGATGGATGCTAAGTTGTGGGGTGAAGAATACAATAGACATAACCCCCCTAAAAAGGTGTGCAACTACAGTTTGTTTTAAATGATCAAAATAATAATTGTTTCTGGATATCAGTTTGTTATGAAATAAACATAAACCCTATGCATTACTACAGACAATATATATTAGGTAAATAAATTTAATTAGTTAAATTTTCTAAGATGTACTGGCTAAAAAAAGGCATCTACTAGTAATTTTATGTGTACATTTAAATTGAATGGCTTAAGCATAATAGGCATCTTATAATGAAATCTCCATGCATTTAAATGATATAATTTATAATGATGAATATTCGTATTGCGGTTGCTGTCTTAAATGCTAAAATTTTAATAAAATTAGTCTCGTTCTTACTCAAATTTTTTTTGTTTTTATATTTAGGTGGACATCTTCCAGATGTATGTGTTGGAATTCCCAGACCGACCAGGAAAACCACTTTTTCACCTGGAGCACTTTATTGAAGGAGAGTACATAAAGTATAATTCTAACTCTGGATTTGTGGAGGAAAATTTAAGGCTCACTCCACAGGTCAATATCATTGCTGCTTCTGTCATATTGTTTGCTGTAAATGCTGATAAAGTTGATTATTTTTTATCCTTTAATCAAATGAGTATCTCATTTTATGTTGTTTTTTCCTGAAAAGAAGAAAACAAAAAATTGTAAATAAATATGTTTCATTTTGGTAACTTTATTACCAGTTATTGATAAATCACTTGGTAATTATTGATATTGTGTTGTTTTAATGCTATTTTCTTTGAATGTGGTTACCACCATTGTCATGAACAAATATTTCCTCTGATTCAAGGCATTCAGTCACTTTACTTTTGAGCGATCAGGCCATCAGTTGATAGTTGTTGACATACAGGGCGTGGGTGATCTGTACACAGATCCACAAATCCACACTGCTGAGGGAAAGGAATACAATGATGGCAATCTGGGACCCAAGGGGATGGCACTCTTCTTTCACTCTCATATCTGTAATTCAATCTGTGAGAGTCTGGACCTAAGTCACTTTGATCTGTCCACCTCAGAACTTGCTACATGCAGAGATTTCATTGAAAAACAAGTTGGTATTAGCTTATTTACTATATTTAATGATGACTGTTATTTCTAATATTTTTTTTTGTGATAAATGTGTGCTTGTGCATAGTTTGTTGTTTGGAAATGAGCTGTGAGTGTTACCTTATGACATGTTGGCTCATTAAATGTTAGTCATTAAAAGTTATTCTATTAAAGTTGTCACATTTAACATGCCAAAGCCAGAGAGTGATTACTTTCGTCATGAATCCTGCATGTGTTCCGTTTCACTTCTGTATGGTTAATTGGAATAATTATCTTTTAGAAGTTCAATTCAATGACTCAACTCCGTGGCAGTGATGACTCCTGCATCTCTGCTTCTCCCATGGATACTTTTGACCTGACTGAAATTCTTGGCCGCCACCATTCTTCTGAATCAACCACATCACAAGAGGATGACTCCTCTGCTCCCTTGAGTCCTAGTAGTGAAGATGAACCTATGTCATTGGACAGCCCTTTGGGTCACATTAAAGCTAGAATTCGATGGCAGAGTGAATCTGAACAAGAATCTCTCACAGCCGTTAGTAGATCATTATTTATAATTGACTTTTTTATATCACAATTCTATTTGTTTAAGAATTGAAATCATATTTGCTTAAAAATATTTTTTACTCATAATTAATTATGGATGACTAAACAAAATATTTAAGTAAATATGATTTCAATTCTTAAAACATTTTCTAAAATATTTTAATAATTATTATTATTATTAAAAAATTTTTTTATAAAATGTATGTTTTTTCACTGTAATATATTTCTAAAGGTTATTATAACTTTTAAAAAAATAGTTATAAAATAAATGTCAGGATTCTTCCTTCTTGCATGTGACCTAAAAAACTTTATTACCAAACCAGGAAGAAGAAAAAAGGGCATTCAGTGAGGCTCAAGCTCAGAAAACCAGACCTTCATGTGTTTCCCATGAACTAGGACTTAGACAGTTGGCTAATATCATGCGCATTGGAGATTCAGTGCTGGGACAAGTAAGTGTTGCCACTAAAGACAAAATTTAAAAGGAGGTTTTGGGATCATTTTATGTATGTTGAATGTGTAATATTAGGTACTTCCGTATCGCCCGGAAATTCCCAAAAAACGGGTATCGGAATTTCGTTGTCAAAACGGCGACCTCCACTTTTTAATTTTCCGAGATCATCGTTGTTTCAACTTTTATAGTCGATTTTTAGCATTATAATAAATTGTACTTCTGCCAATTAAAGCGGAGCGGACATCTTGCTTGTTCTTTTATTTTAAGAATTTATTTTTTTTAAATTTTTTTTTTGAGGTTAAGGCTTTGAAAATTGAAGTTGAAAATATGAAAACTTGATCAATAACTTTTTTTCGAAAAAGTGCTCATTGATTAAATTAATATCTAATTTAGTTTATAAGGTCATTTATAACATATCCAAAATTCATGAGTGTAGACCAGAGGGTTTGGTCAAAAACGAAAGTCACAGATGTAATTTTTTTAGGCTATATAGATGTAGATGTATAGATATATTTAAGGCTATGTAGATGTAATAATATTTATTGAATATTAATATTATGATTCTTAAGGCATAAATTAATTAAAAATGTTTACAAAAATATTCACTTACCTTTAATATTGAAATAATCCTATATTTAATCACATATCACAATATTCCACAAGAAAATTATTACATAATCCTCAGTATTCTCAAAGAAAAAACACACTTTCTGTCACAATAATCCAAGAATTGCAAGAATTACTTAAGATATTATTAAAGAACAATCATGAAAACTTATACTTACCTCAAGTAAATGACTAGAACTTATTTTAATGTCTATCAACCGCCAAAGTTGATTCTAACAATACATGTTGATTTGTGAAACAAGATTACTATCTTAAAATAAATGACATACTATTTTGTTGTCATATTTAAACATTCATATGATTTGGGACTAAAATACCAGTACATACAAACATAGAAAATGGTAAAATAAAAAGTGTAAATGTCAATTTTAACTAAATGAAACAAATAATCCCTTTATTATTTGTTTATACTTATAAATGTTAAACAAGTCTACAGAAAAGATGATATTAATATCTAAAAAATATTATTAGTATTATGATTTTTGGGAAATTAAAAAAAAATATTTAAACAAAATTAATTAATTAATTAATTACAAATAAGTGATGAGCCAGCATATTTATACATTTTTAATAGGAAAATAATAAAGTTTTTATTTTTTTATTTTTGTGGCATATTATCAAAAACTAACTTATAATTTGTGGCTTTATTTAGAAGTATTCTTATTTAACTATGTTCCCTGTAAATATTATATTTTTGTCTCATTTTATAATAAAGTTATAGGCGTTAAAAAAAAAGCAAAATGAGGGTCACAAAATGTGGAGGAAAATCCCATAGTGAATAAGTGGTTTGAGGTCCCTACTAAAAAATTCATAACTTTTGAACCACTTGAGCTAGAAAGTTGATCTTGGTGTTTTTTATAATCTACTCTCCAGGCTCTATACAGCTGTAGTATTTTATATTTTTAAAAATGTTTTGAAATTTTCATGAAAGTACCTAGTAATATGTATTTTGTAATATTAAGATAAACTTTTAGGTTATTAGTAATTTAACATGACAATTATTTGTCTTTATTAATAATGTTACAGTTATTACTGATTTTCAATATGTGGATGGAAAATGGATTTAAACAAAAAACTCTTATATAAAGATATATGTCCATAATGTTCTTAGCCTATATTGTAAAAGTAGGTTACCAGTATGATTAATTTTTTTATCAAAGATTTTTGTCTTTATAACTATAATACTTTTTTTTTTAAAATTGCAAGATACACCATGAAATGGCTAAATATCATGAGATTGGACGTTTTGCTTTGCAAGAAGATGTCATTGACTGGGAGTCTGCACTATTTCATGAGGAGCATGCTGCTCAGTTGGGTGTTCTTGAAGCCATTATAACCATGGCAAGGCTTTACCTAGGGCTGCAGAGAGATCTTTTTGTCAATTGTGTTGTTCAGGTTAGTTGAATTAAATTAGTTCAAATGAGTGTGTAATATACAAAAAATAGCTTACTTTCTTTTACGAGATTACATTTTATACTGATGCATTGTTTCTCCAGCAAACACCAGAAATGATTGACATGGGTATTGACTATATGGTGCAGGCGGCAGAAGCAGGTGACAGGAATGCCATGATATATATGGCTAGGGCTTTTGAAACTGGAGAAAACTTGGGAACCAAAAGGTTAGAGATCACTTCAAAAATTTAAGGCAGAAATAATAAGATTTAAGACATACTTGTGTAAATCTGATCATAATCAACCATTATACTATTTATAGCCATGCGTTTTTTTTTAAGACTGTATTAATATGTACTTATTTACCAATAAACATTGATTAAAAGAGAAAGAGTAAAAAAAATTTTTTTCTTTCATCATTTATTATGCTTATCATAAAATTCATGTCAAATATTACATTTATTGAAATGGCTTTCCAAATTTAAAAAATTAAATTGAAATATAAATATATGTAAATCATAGAATCATGTATATAGATATTTACATTTATAACTTAAAATCTCCAACATGTTTTCTTTCTTCAATTGTAAATTTATGCTAGTCTCATCAATGATCACTATATAATCTCTCTTTATGCTTTATCTAATGCATGTGGATTTTTTTATAATTTAATAGCTCTTTTACAAAGTTAAGTTCTACATTGTAATTAAAACATTTTCTAGATCAATTTCATGGGAAGACGCTGTGCACTATTACCAAATGGCCATAGGGAGGAATGATCATGACGAGGGTGGGGAGTTTGACTCTACAATGGCAGATCCAGTACATCAGCTTCTGGCGCAACAGGCTGAGATGTACAGAGTTGGTGATCATGGGCTTGATAAGGATGTACAGAAAGCAGGTACCAGAATATATGCTCAAAGTTATTTATTTGATCCTTTAACTACATATAGTATGCCGGTAACTCTAATATCCACATAACCAATTTAAACTAATTATTATTTTTCATTAAATTTAATTCGGAGGTGTTCAGCCAGAATCAGAACAAAATTTATTTGGAATGGTTCCATTTAAAATAAAACACTCCACAAAGATTTTCGGTTGATATGATTCTTCTTTTTTATCCTACAGGTGACCTGTACAATGAAGCAGCAGAGGCAGCCACTGCTGCTATGAAAGGTCGTCTAGCTAACAAGTACTTTATGTTGGCAGAGGAATGCTATGCCGAGATGGAATAAACAGTAGCAAGCTGAGGTCATGGGAACAGAACACTGGTGACTAATTTGACTTCTTAGATAAGAACTCTTTGTGTAATCCTCTAAGTAAATTAATGATAGATGAATGTAGCTAAACCCAGTTATATTTAGTGCAATGATCAGCCATTTTATTTGATTTGGCAGGTCCTTTTACATTTTATGATCTCTTGCTTTAAATTAATATAACATCATATTTTAAATGTGAACTATCTACCAGCTTATTTTTAAATCCACAAAGTAAGGATTAGGGACACAATGACCCTATGTTTGGTTCGCTAAGAATCAAGCATTCATATCAGTGTGTCACTCATTATTCCACATTCCTCAAATGTTTTACTTTTTACCTAATCCATCAAATTCAGAGTAGAACAGTGCCTTCAGATGTATGATATGTGCTGTATTTGTGCATAAAGTCCGGCATTTTTTTTTTTACTTTCATACATTTAATTTTAGTTTTATCTTTTCTCTGGGCAATCCAGATGAAAAAGGAACTCTAAAATTAAAAACAACTGTTTTTTTATGTTTAGTTCATTTACCAGGTAGTTTGGTTTCATTAAGGAACCCCCTTGATCTGACTGAATATATTTAGGAAATAAGCAGAACAAAGTAGGTGAAAACCTGAAAAGATAAAATGAATATATTATATGGAAACTTAAACTTTCACCATCATCTGCCACCTGAAGATGCACATTAAAATCCTAACAGAATTCATTTCTTTTTTTAACGCAAGAAAAACTGAATAGCTACTGGTATAAGCTTTTTTATAATTAGTCCTTTAAGAAACTAATTAAATTTGTATGTTTCTGATGTTGTGACATTTTGAAAGTTGTTAATATTATTATATTTTTTGGAGAAAAAAATGATAGAATGAGTTGTGAGTTTTTGTATATTTAATGTTTACAAATGTGTTGATAAATAATAAAACCTGTTGTTTTTACTTGCAAGTAAAGATAATACATTTTTTTGGATGCATTACATAAGTTTAAGCTTTCTGTTCCACCCGCGTTGGTGTTAGTTACTATTTTATTACATTTTGAAAGCATTTGTGCTGAAATTTCCTATTTTATTTTAATGGTGGCTCTGGTTTTTCTAATAGAATCTTTGCAAAATATTTACTAACATTTTGATGTTAAGTTTCGCATTTAGTTACAACATGATTTGATGTTTTTTACTCTTTTCTGCTTAAATGTAAAGTTTTCTAGTTGTCTTAAAGCTGTTAAATTGTCAATAACTTTTCAACTTAATTTTTAGCCACATTACCTTTCATAGATCAACACTCAGCACCATATTTTCCCAACAATTCTCTCATCTAAGTAAATTTGGTTTGACCATCATAAATAAAGTTAGATCCTTCCATTAAAAAAGCGATGTTTAAGTTTAAATTTTATTTTTATTTTCGATCCTTCCATTAAAAAAGCGATGTTTAAGTTTTAATTTTTTTTTTATTTTCGAGTAAAACAATTCCCACTTCAATAAGTAAAGTAATTTAAGTAAAATTCATTATTATTAGTAGTACAACTTGAAATAGCACAAGTTTGAAGAAATTAAGCAAAAATCAATCATGGTCTAAATAATAACAAATTATTTCTGTAACAACTTCTAATAAAGAAAATAATTTGTCCATATGGCCATTAGAACAATTTACACACACACACACAAAAGAAAAAGCCATAAAGTTAATATCATGTCTTTCCAATTAATTGTTTGAAATGTTTGTTACTTATCATTACACTTTTTTTTTTCCCTCTAAAGACCTTGCTCTTTACAACAGTTAATTTTTTTTTCCAATAATTTCACATTTGAAAGGTGAAGAAAAAAAAATTCCTTTAAAAAATTATATCTTCAAAATTAGCAGTTTTTCCCTTCATTTAAATTTTGTAAAAAAAATGATATGAAAGTTGAGCATCAAAATAATTCATTTCTTCCATCCATCACGTCTCAAATTGTATCTGTGATATAAACAGAGTATTTTGTTTACAAATTCTAGTAATATTTCCTTACTAAAGTTAATAAAATTTAGCTTTTTTAAGCATTCATTCTTGGGATTCACTTTATTAAAAAGAAATGGAGCAAGCTACAATATAAAAGAATTGAAACAAACAATTCTAATAAGGAAGAAAATCTCTTGACTTATGTAGTGCTTTATTACTTGAAATTATGAAATGCTCAGAATCACCTCTTTGGGGTTTTCTTAAACTCAAAAGAATATTCCAATTGATTTTTATAAAAGACTGTTATATTTGTGTAACATGTAAATTATGTAAATAACGTTAAACTTCTTTTGTTCTAATTACTAAACTTGAATTTGAATGCTTTTATTAATCACCTTGATACGTTCTTTTAGTTTATTTGTCTTTATGCATTAAACTTCAATAAGAATTTAAAATATTATTATCCAGAAGTAGCTTAGTAGTTTACAATAATGCTAAATGTGCCATAGGTAATTGTTAAAACAATAAGGGATCATTTATGAGAAGCAACATTTTTTTTACAAATTTAAACTATTTTTCCACTCTCCTCCACACTAACCCTTTCCCTCTGGTATTTTCAAATTAATTTTATGTTAATATTTTATAATGGTTTCAAATATTTTTAAAGAAATTTAATAAAATTAGTTACCTGTATTAGTATTACTCTATCATTCCCCATCTCTTCACTAAAAATTATATGAATGCTTAGATAACTTTTAATAATTTTTTCTAATAGTTCTTTATTTAAAAATGATAAGTGTATCTATTTTTCTTGAATTTAATAGTTCTAGAATTAACTCATGATCACATGCAGTATAAACTATATATCATGATTGCATTTTAAATCTTGTTTACTGTTGTCTAGGTTATCGACCTATCACTTGGCATTGATGCATACTTTTGAATATTTGTCTTTACTAAAGAATTTGTAAATTTTCAACAGATACAGACTTGTTCCTTCTAATCTAGTCCATTACTCATGTTCTTAATCAGTACACTTTATGCTGAAGAATCCATCTTGAACAGTGCAGCATTAAATTTGTTAGCATTTTTTTTTTTAATCATATTTTTGTATGTAAACAGTTTTTTAAATAATTTCCCACCATTAAATTTGGACAAAGAAGTTGGTGGAAAGAAATTTCTCATCTAAAATAAATAAAGTCATTTTGCTGAATAGAAATTTATATTTAATTATTTTTCATTCTATCAATTACTCTGATGCAGCCCAAAGATATTTCCATATTAAATTTACAAATTTGTTATATACTGTATTTGATTCAAATGAAAGCCATTTCAATGTACTGGTACATGTTGTTTAAATTTTTTTTTTAATACTTTAATTGCATGCCACTTGACAAATGAAAATTTTAAAAAACTAACTTTTTCTGGGTGTCATTTTGTTTCTGGTTCTATAATTAAGGCTTTTTAAAAACTACATTTTTACATATTTTTTAAAGCATTTAGGCTATCACTCTTTCCATGTATTGAGTGAAGACAATTTAATAATGAAGATACAATCTCTTATTAAAAGTGGGTAAGTCCTAATGCTATATTATATGTTTGTTTTCCATAAAATGATTGACCTTTAGTTTAAAAGTCCTGTATTCTTTGTGCACTACACTATCAACACATATATCAACAACATGTCTAATTCAGTGGTTCCCAACTTTTTCTCCTGGTCTCATTTTTTAATGTAAATTTGCTCAAGCCCACAAATATATTAATTCATTTTGAAATCATTAAAAACGTCTCCTTAATGATAAAACATCTTTAAAATATTAACCCAGTGTAGCTATAAAGCGAAGCTCACCTGTCTTTACTGCCCAAAAGAAAAAAAAGAAAAATTTATATGATAAAAATAAGTATTTGTTTTGAATAATTTTTAATGAAAAGTTATTTAGAGGCTATATGAAAATAATTTATTTTTTTAAAATTGAGATGTCTAGCGTTTCAATTTCAAGGTGTAATCACTAAAGTGCCAACCATTCCCTCGTCTAATATATCTCCTTTTTTGTGGCATAAAATAGATTGTTTAAATATACAGAAGCTCTTAGAAAGTACTATATGTTGGTTTCTATTAAAATAAGGTGACATTTAAACATATGAAGAAAAATTATATTTTAAAAAAAATTCTTCTGCTGTACATAATATTATCCTCATGACAATTCATTTGGGAACCTCTGGTTTTATGTATGTTTTTTATGCAAGCTAATCTCTGTTTCCTATATCACCAAGAGTGATCTGTTGAAATAAATACTATCTTTTTTATAAGTTAACATTTCTTGGATTACTAAATGAAATTTTAGTTCTAGATTAAAGGAGAAAAATCACAATATTAATTAATGCTTTTTTTTTTATGTGGCTAGCAGAAAAGTATATTAGTTAAACATGCATTATAAATAACTAATAATAATAATAATGTCTTTTCATTGAAGCACAAATTGATTTTTTTTAATTAATATTTTTCAATTTATCTGAATTCTGCATGAGTTTTCAATAATTGTTTAATATTGTATTTATCAAAAATCGACTCCAAGGATTTGGGGAGATTTACAGATTTTGCATCCAATACTTATCATTTATTTTTTTGTGGGTTTAAGGTCTTTAATAACTGTGGCATCTGTGTAGTTCCTATTTCTTAGAATTAGAGAAAAGCATATCTTTCAAATGTATTGCAGTGGATTTGAACCTTTTTATCACTAAAAATAACTACCTAGACTACCTAAACTATTAATAATAAAAGTATTACAAATTAACATGGTCTATTTTGGTGATCAGAATTGTTTTATATTAAACTAGGGCTTAACCAGGTGCAGTTTATTTTATACTGGGTCTGGGTATTTCAAGAAAATACCTGGTAGGTCCAACTGTAAAAAAAAAAAAAAAAAGTTAACTTCTCATTTTCTATAAACAACAGGCCTACAGACAATCCTACTCCCTACCTACCTGCCTTTAGACAATAGGTCTACAGACAGCCCTACACCTTACCTGTCGGCATTTAAACAATAGCCCTACAGTCATACACCATACCCGTGGGTCTTTATTGATTGATATATTTGCCTCCAAAAAAATTCAACCTTCTCACTTGGGTTCAACCATCACAAATGACGCTCGCTGCTTGACAGCTTTTTTTTTTTCACCCAATACTATTAATATAAAACATGTTGAGAATGGGGAGGGCCGGTTGTGAAAAGGACGCAGCCATACCAGAAGCAAAATATATATGAGATGAGATGGATCATATAATAGGTTACATCTTGGTTAAATATAGAAGCTCTACACCAAATTTTATCCCTTTATAAATTATATAATAATCATGGGACACATCTTGAACTTTTTGTGACTCATCTGATAACTTTTTTTTTTTTAATTCAAAGTTCATTAAAAGAATTTATTTATTTGTATGAAAGAATTTTTAAAAGCTCAAAGCTGCTCTAATAAAAATTGCGTTGCTTTTTAAGATTTTAAAACTTGAAAGTTTATCCTTCATTTTCTTAATACATGTATTTCTTAAATTTAAAAAAACATACCCCTGTAGTAAAAGATTAATTACACCCTAAAAAATGCTTTGCTTACTTATTCAAATATATCTTAATTTATTCACTTCATTAAAACCACATTGCAAGCAAGATGGAGATTTAAATTACCTGGTTCCTGTGGGTTATTATTTTTTTTAAAGGCTAAATGCAAATAGAAAATTTTTTGCAACCCGAAGTCAGATTTCACCTTTTAATTAACGACATTTAAATTTAATATTCTTATTAGTATAACATTTTGTTGTTTCTTGGTAAATCTATTATTTTATCAAAAGTTTTCTATTTTTGTACAAATAATAATCTATAGACAATATTTTACTAAAACTAAATAAATTAAGCCCCATCCCTTTTTTGCCCTTATTTCTAACAGTGTTCTTTCAATACCTATTTGTGGTAGGTCTTTTTGTGTTCATTACTCCAGCATCTGTTTTTTCTGTTAAATGGTTTATACAATTCTTATGTACATTTCTAAGAATGCTTGATATTTCCAATAAAATTTATATTGACATCAGCAACAAAGCTCTTAGTGTTGTGTTAAAGTTGTTTTTTTTTTTTTACATTAATTTATTTTCCTCTTTTTCAGTCCACACAATACAATTTTAATTATTTTAAAGGCTTGTTGGGTAGTTGTATGGTTAACATAACACTATGTGATATCTAGTCCCCACTTACAAGAAACCAAATGTGCACAGAGTTGTGCTGGAACTATGTAATAGATATTAAATTTAACAAATCCAAATAGGAATGTATAATTACTTCGGACATTTCCGTGAGAATACCGGCGGAAGAAGACCGGGCTTTTGACCTTAACTACGTCAAATATATATATATTTAATAACATAGTATATCAGATGTTAAGGACATAGTTTTCACATATTATTTTTGACACAGTGGCATTGACTGTATTAAAAAAATCAATAAGTTCTTTATGTGACCTTCACAAAAGTGAATGCAACAAGCTGTGGTTACGTTTGTTTCCTTATTAAATTATTCGCATTAAAACTTGTTCTTGTGTTGGTCAAGTGATGTGAAGTAAAGTGGAAAGGGCAAGTCATTTGTTGGGCTAAACATAGGAGAGCCTTAGGGTAGGTTGGTGGTTTAGGTAATTTGGGCAGTTTGGAAAGGCAGAGGCGTAGCTAAGGGGGGCAGAGGACACAGATTCCATTGCACCAGACTAGTTGAGGACGTAAAATCGGCTGTGAAGTAAGAGGACCCTGGTCTTGTTTAGGTGAGAAATTTCAAGTTGCTTGGAGAGTCAGTAATGTTTTTTACACTCTAAATAGGTGTGGGTGTAATTTCTTTAAACAGGGAGGGGTACTATTTATTACCGGTACCACTGATGGACCCAAGAATGGAAAAGAGAACCTCTGTTTATAGATTGAGTTTCAAGCAACACTACATGTTCCATTTAAGTATAGACCCTGTAGTGTAGGTTAGTTTGATTATATTTTTTTAATTTATTCCACTCCCATTTAAGCCTCGCGAAAAAACTTATAAGCCTACTAACTTAAATATATTAGCATTACAGCACATAAAAAAAACAACATTTCAGTAGTTAATATATGTTTTTTTTAAAAGTGTAGTCCCTATTGTAGTGTCGTCTTAAAGCATGGCACACTCGGAAGTTGCCCAGGGCCTCACGCTTCTAGGGGCATCATAATGCCCATAGTGTCAATGAATAATGAAAGCACCTTTAATAAGTTTAGTGCTAAGCCGACCGCATGACTCCCAACGCAACGGGAGTAGTAATGTCGTAACAAGATTACTTGCCGTTAATGGATATGAGGCTTGGGTTTCGGTTAAAATCCATGCCGATGATTTTAGCTACGCGGCCGTGAGAAAGTCGTTCCTAGGCGACCGTTTCGTCCCAGCTTTTCGTCCCGATCGAAAGACTCCGTGGGTGGTGGGGGGTGGTAACGCAACACCATTCCTCCGGAGGGGAAGCAAACCCACCCAGACCCTGGGGAGAGTGGACTGCAAACGCTTTAAACGCAGAGTTTTCGGTCGCCTGGATGTCCGCGTGGGGGTGTGCCGGGGGGGGGGGCATTAAGAGCTCACGCTCGACGGCCACCCGACGCCATTTCCCATGTGACATTTTCAGTGGTAAGCACGTTTCCCAAGTGTTTGTGAAATGTATTTTCTATTTTAAAATAAATTCTATTTTTGGTACTAGTTTTATAGAGGTTTAATTCTGTTTAAATTGTCACTTTTAACATTAAGCTCTTAAAATAAAATCAGCTTCGCTATTTTAAGCAGCAACGTATAAACTGCCTTTAGAGACGGACGTGGAAATTGACATCTTGCAGGTCCTCGACTTCAAAACACTTACTAATAAATGATCCGCAACAAATAAATAACTCAAGCGTTTATATTGATCTTATAGTCTACACGGTAATAAATAATAAATTAGGCCTATATTCTTCAATAAAAACAATAAAACTCCACCTGTATGGTGTACCAATTAATTTGCCTTTGGTTATAGTTATATTTATATATATATATTTTAAAATGTGTTTTTGAACTATTTTTTATTTTGATTTAGGATTTTTATTTTAGTATCAATACATCTATATTTTATTTAATTAAAAAAAAACTTTATTTATTTTTATTTTTTCACGTGGTGGGTAGGGCAATTAGGAGGTCCCTGTGCTTTTCCCAGGACCTCCAATGTTGTTGAGCCCACCCTGGTGGCCTATCTAAATTTACCATCCTTGTTTGTCTTTTCTTCTTCCTTTTTTTATAAACAACAAACGTTATGGGGTCGTCCATTAATTGCGTCAACAATTTTTAGGCGATTTTTTACCCTCCCCCCCGTCAACAACTGTCAAACTTTCAATGACACCCCCCACCATTTCATTACGTCAACATTTTCTAACCCCCCCCCAAACACCCCAAAAAATAAAATAAAAAAAGGAATTTATGGGGTCGTCCATTAATTGCGTCAACAATTTTTAGGCGATTTTTTACCCTCCCCCCGTCAACAACTGTCAAACTTTCAATGACACCCCCCACCATTTCATTACGTCAACATTTTCTAACCCCCCCCCAAACACCCCAAAAAATAAAATAAAAAAAGGAATTATATTATAAATAAATTTATAAATACAATTTACTTTGTGCTAATCTATTTTAATGACACAAATTGTAGGAAAAACATTCATTAAATACATGTTTAGCTTGTTAATCAACAAGTTAAAGCGTTTTTACACTTAAATTTTATAATGCAGAATCAATTGAAAAGTTTTTGAAGACTAAATATCATTGTTTATGGTATAAATATGATTACTGTCAGTAAAGCTGACAATTATAGTATAGTTTCTAGGTTGTAGCCCCCACCCCCTAATTTGCAGGTTTTATTTTAATTGATATTCACTGTGCGCCTCCATTAATAAACAACTTAACAAGCCGACCAAGTTTTGGTTTTGCATCCCCCCCCCCCTAAAAAACATGAAATGACGCCCCTGATGGGCATAGTCTATAACAACTGATTGATCATTTTCATCTTGCGGCACTGATATACCAGACAAGTCAACATCATCCCCATCAAACGATTCAGCACTTAAAATAGAAGCATTGTCGGTGTGAGCAATAATTGCCATAAGCTCTCTCTATCTCCTTGCAGCTAATGGCTATGGTCGAATCCCTTTTTGTTGAGGAGCAGGTGCTAATTTCTTATGCTCAATAGGGCATTGTCGGTGCCGTTGAACATGCTTTTTTCGACATGACTTGTGATGCAAAATAGATGTTACAGATTTTGCAAATCCGTTCAAGCAGCGACGTTGTCATTGTTAGGCCTACTCACTTTACATTCACCTTATTCTCAAGGTATCGTTTTCCTACTCTATCACTATCATTTATCTTGACTGCACACGACACTTGAACCTTGGCCTTGTTCCATACCTGCAATAGAATCTTCAGGTGAAGAGAGGCCAACGTTTAACTTCTCTTTCACAAACAAAGTGTGTTAACATTCTGACCAGCCATCTGCAGTGCACAGACACACATTAAATAAATCTTTTATTGTTAAAACTAAAAGCCTAAAAATTAGAATATGACTATTTACACTTATTTACACTTAAAAATTAAAAAAAAAATAATAATGTAATAACCAGTTAATTTTTAAGATTAAAATTTTAATAGAGAAAATGTGATTGTTGACGTCAACTAATCTAAACCCCTCCTCCCTCCCCATTGTCAATAACTGTCAAACATTCCCCCCCCCCCCTCTTTTGTTGACGTAATTAATGGACGCCCCTTTGTGGATCTTCAAATTACAACCCCCACCTATTAAAATTTTAATAGAGAAAATGTGTTTGTTTACGTCAACTAATCTAAACCCCTCCCCCCCCCCCATTGTCAATAACTGTCAAACATTCCCCCCCCCCCCTCTTTTGTTGACGTAATTAATGGACGCCCCTTTGTGGATCTTCAAATTACAACCCCCACCCCCCAAAAAAACAACCCGTGGGTCGTGTTCACCCTACGTTTGTTAACAGGTTGGTGTTGGCTATGACTTTAACCACATGGTAATATTCTCACTGAGGCGTAGACCTACGCCACGAGATGGCAAACGTTGCCGCTCATTGCGAATTGTAGTTGCTCAACTGTAGAAACTTTCAATAAGAGAAGAGCTGGGACTTTTTTACTGCTCCGGAGGCGTGATTTTCAACGCATTGTCTATAGTATATATACATAAAATCCACATATGCATCTTAGCACGTTAAATTAATTTGTTTATTTAAAAAATATTAACAAATATCAATCTCGTGTATTTGTTCACTATTTGACTTTAGTTTAAATGGAAGATGTCTTTAAATGGGACATTTAGATACTGTCCAGATTTAGCAGAATTCTGAGAGAGTTTTAGTTTTTTTTTTAATATATAATTTATAAGTAAGCATACTGCTGTCATAATCAACAAAAGTATTATCAATAATAAGGTTATAATATATTTTCCCAACTTTTGCTACCAAATAATATGATAGTTCAATTAATATATTGTCAAAAGGAGTGAATAGCAGTAATTAAAAGTTTTGGGAAATTTTGACAATCTGGGAATTGCATAAAGTTGTATTGTTCCATCGTAGGGACAATCGAGGGCTACAACCTTATTTGTTAAATAAACAAATACAGCTTAAAATACAAAACAATGCGTCATTTTTTAATATTGCTGCTTTTAGTGATTGTTGCTGTCTGCATTTCAGAGGCTGACAGGGCAGAGAGGAGACGGAAAAAACTGACAGCAAAGCTAGCTCGTTTGGATTCCAACTTCAACAACAAGGCGTTCAACAAGGCTGATGCCGATGACGAAAGTTCAGATCGCGAAAATGAGGAAACCGATGGGGAAACAATCGATAACAAATATGGTCCTCGTTACTACAAAAAGAATAAGAAGAACAAATATTACAAAAGAAGAAAGGTATTTAGTTTAAAATTGTGTCATTAAGTTAATGCTAACACCAAAATTTTTGCCAACAATATCCAAATCACAATTACTAATTACAGTACAGTGGAACCCACTTATCTCGACGATTAACTCGCCAACCCTGTTATGTCGATGAAGTGGAACTTCCAAATTCTCTCTTTGGCTTAGCATTTTCTCCTCGGTTATGTCATGTCGATTCTTCTATGTCACTGAACCCTGATGATATCTTGAACTTAAACACAAAAGGCGGCCAAATTTGCCACTTAACCTTGGTTATCTCGATCCCCATGACCAATTGTCTGCTTTTTAAAATTATATTATATACATCAGAAACGTGCCTACTTCAGACAGTAGCAATTGAAATGAAAATATTGTCCTTGCAATTAATTTGACACAGCAAGAAGCTACAAGCGAGAGGCTTGCAGCAAGCAAAAGAGAGAGGTCCTGGTACCTGTTCTATTTCTAGCGAACCCGCTTGTTGCTTAATAGCCTTTCACGCATTCCTATATGTTGATTTTTTTAAAACCCAGAACTTGTATTTAAATAAACTGAACTGGTGAATCCGGAGCGAGAGAAAATAAAAGCTCTGAATCCGGAGCTGAAAAATATTTACCCTCGCCTCATGAATCCGGAATTCTGAGATAATACGAAAAAGTGGCATCCCACATATGCCTTGTCCTTGTGTTGTTAGCAAACATGCATGTACATTTTTATTAGCATGCCAATAGCTTCATTTAACTAATCGCGGTAAAGCTTTTGTGAAATAATAAAAAAAAAATTTCAAAAACATGTGCATGTACATTCTCATTTATAAACGCACATCGTGTACATAAAGAGATTTTAAGCGCATTTTAATATATTGCAGCCATATTGGTTTTCATTATCTCGATGCTTTTTGGCAAACCCTGAGGCCGTTGACATATCTGGGTTCGACTGTACTATTATTAAAAAGTATTATTAGTATTATTATTATACCTACTCATGCTTAGATGCTACTGCCTACTACTGAAACTGCTGCTACTGAGCCACTGATAACACTTAGCCAATACAAAATTTGGTGCCCCAAAATTGATTGAGATTAGATCTATTTAAGTATAGGACAAATTAGATTTGGTATATTTGACCAGCTGATTCTAAAAATGACTTCAGTTTCCCCCTATATTGAGCCTACATGATGTATAAGCTCTAGGTTTTGAGATGTTGAGCAAATCACAAAAGTTCAGATCTCAAAAGTCAGGAAACTGATGGTGAAACAATTGATAATAAATAATGTGTTTGTACTTTTCCTAACCTTGTCACTTGGTCTTTTTAGAATTAGATTATATTTTCTATAATTTCTTAGTTTTACTAACTCCATTTTACTTATTATTACCAACTTATTTTTCACAGTAGCAATATTTATATTCTTTCACTTCCTGTAATCCTACTTCTGGCAACAACAAAGGAAATCTCTAAAAGTTTTTTTACTGTGCTCTGTTACTTGACTTACTTCTATTTGTCTTGTTTGCTCTAAGCCGAAATGTCCAAATTTTATTGTCCTGTCTATTAATTCAAGTTTAACATACCTTGTTCTTTTATTTCATTTACATAACTTGAATGCAGTTCAGTTATTGTTTTGTTGGGTTTTTTTCCTATGAAACACTAAATTAACAGAACCTAGCATTGAATCAGGATTAGAGAGATGAAGATTTTCAGAGTTATTTTTCGTAGCTATTAACACCAAAAAATGGCCATCTGCTAGATTTCCACTAGCATCTCTTTTGTTGCTTTCTGATTAAGTTTAGTAAAGCTGAAAAACTAAATTCCTTGTGTGATCATAGTCAATTTTTACTTTTACAAAAACTAATAGGCCTAAATTAAAAATTGTGAGACAAATTAATTGTCTAGAATATGAGAATCACTGTTAGTTAATATGAACACTGTTTGGGTTAGTGAGTTGTGTCATGCGTGTTTTTATTGTGTCTCAATGATCATTATTGTGTGTCTCAATGATCATTGGATGACAGGAATAGAATAATAAACTTGTGTGTGGATATAAGGCATGAGATAGAGTGGAGAGAGAGTTGATTAAGGACATAGTCATGATACATTTGTGTGTTTTTGGATAGACTGTATAGTTATAAGGAGATACTGTAACCAGATGAATTTGCATGACAGATGCACATAATATAGAAGAACCCTATTCATTTTTAAAGTGTTTTTGTTCCAATATGCGAAAGTGTTTATGTTCCAATATGTGGTGTGCGTTGTGAACGTTGATATACAGTGTTGTAGAGTACCATCAATAAACGTTGCTAGAAAATACTTGAAGATGCTCGACTAGAATAATAGAGTATTTTAACACTAATTTGGCCTAAAAGTATGTTAATGTTTAATAGTTAAACAAAAAGTTAGGCCAATTTAAAGCTCTGTGTCGAGACTTTGTATCTGTTGTGTTGCAAATCATCCACTTATGGCAATGAGTGTCTACTCATCCAGCCAAGTCTCCCACTTGATCCCCGAACAGCACAACCAATAGTAATAGTCTCCAATTCAACAAACACTCCACGGTTCGTTACAATATATAAGTTTAATATGCCTCTTCAACATGACAATCAGTGTACTTCACTATACAGCTTGTAAACGTTCAACTTCACAGTCTATCTAGTTGAAATCCTCACACATAGAAACATCACACAAGAAGCTATGTCTTGACAGTGCACAACAGCCATCTCTGTTCTCCAACAACAACGAAAACTAATGCGTCATATCCCCTACCACAATTACGTCACAACACTCTCACACCCACGATACAGCTACACATAAAATCTCTAACTAAACATCTTTTCCCTATCAAAAATGAAAACAATGATCTACACATAACAACAGTGATTCTCATTCGCTTGACACTCTGATGCTTTTCATTTTTAACTTTTAGTTTGCAAGGTACCGAGGCCCTTTTCAATATTTACTGTCATTTTATAATACTAATATTAAATGAACCATGCTCTCCATACAAATGTTTATATTCCATTCTGATCAATGCCACTAACTAAATATAAGTATAAGGCTAATTTAATTTAATAAGTAACACACATAGTGCTTTTCCCAAGACCCAAAGCTATACCTCCAAATAAATGAATATTGGCAAGTATAAATTATTTTCTCTGGGTCTCTTAATATGTAGAGAAATATAATATATGTAGGCCTAAAACATTTTGAAATCAGGATTTTTGTTACCGGTATTTCTTTTTTTTTTTTTATATGACACTATCACTGATTTGTGCTTAAAGTAATTTCAATTATAAAATATTTCAGTCAGATCACAAGATGTCTTGGTTGAATGTTAAGAAAGGTAGGGCTTACCACTTACATATTCTTAATCCTTTTTTTATTTTCACTTTCATGTGATTTTTATTATGAATTTTTAGTTTATTCTTTTTTTTTGCCTTGTTTGAGTGGTTTATATACCTAATTCTTACGCAAAGAGAAAAATATTATCTCTTCAAATGCAGGCTCTGACTGTAGTATTAAATGTAGGCATGGAGATGTTTGCATAACAGGACCCATTGATACCAAACCTATGTGTGTAAGCAAGAAGGATTTGAAGAAAAGGTATGTATTGTGAATCAAAGTGCTTGGTGGTATTGCTTGCTAGTAACTCTTTTACTTTTAGTTTAATAGCTAATCTGTGGTCTTTGGATATAAACATAATTAGATCTAGTTAGAAATGTATATTTAATGAATATGATATTGCTAGCTATCCTTTTTTTCATTGACAGTAATAATATAGTTTCTTATATGTCTATTTAGTTTGAAGTTGTTCCATCGTTATCAGAAGCAAGAAATGAAGGCATGGAAAAAGTTTAAGAAAGAAAAGTATGATCATGCTGAAGCAGAAACATATCCCATGGATAAGGATGACAAGCAAGAAATAGCACATACAAATGATTCAAAAAACCAGATTGTTGAAAAGCAGAATACTGTGAAACAGCACAAAGAAGAGGTAAGAGGAAAGTGTCAAAAAAGGTTTTATATCAATTTAAACATAATTTTGAGTTACAGGGGGGAAAACATTAAAAGTAAATATTAGCATCTCCAGTTTAAAATTTACTGAGAAAAGCGTGTCAGCACATCTTTTACTAGATAAAGGTATTTTGTAATTACTAACCTCAAATATTTAATAATAATAATAATAAAGTTCATTTCAAAAACACGCTTCATCCCCAAAGGCTCGAAGCGCGGTACAAAGTCAACGAAATATAAATCTATAATTTCTTGATAGTCTTTCTCAATGGGATCAAGGCAAAGTGATACAACTGAGAAGAGATGATCAGAGTGTCTAGAGACAGATGAATAGAGAAACAATAGTTTGAAACATTGGGATTGGCCTATACTGCACTAGGAGTGACACATACTAAAAACAATTTAGATGTCCTTAAACACAATATCTAATCACTAGTACCCCCTTTTATTTTTATCTCCTCCGGCAATCAAGCTAAGAATTTACCTGTTTTTTGCCTTACATTTCATTTAAAAATCACCATACTGAATGTATCAAATTTTTTACCACAGAAAAAAATAAACTACAACTCCCCTTTTAACTCTAATATTAATAACCAATTAGCATATGTCCAGGTTACCAACCCTTTGTTCAGTTTACATTTTGATTATGGTAGATCTACATTGAATTACTTACCATACTTCAAGAAGCAACAAAACAATTTTTTAACGATTTTCTTATGTTTATATTTAAAAACAGAAGCATGAAAGAATTCATAATATGATGACTTTATACTTAATAGGTAATGGAAAAACAAAGAACAGTTATAGTGAATGACTTAATTTTATGCCATCAAAATTAAAAAACAGAAATATAGTTAAATCCGCCCAGTAGTATTTGTCCATTGTTCTCTTCAGACAAACCTCCAAGTGTATACAACTAAAGCTGATGACCTCGAAGGTATGTTTGATTTATATTTTTTTTCTTTTTGTTATGCAGCACATTAAAAAAATTATATTTTATTAGATAAATTTGAGATTTATGCAAATGTAAAATCCATTTCAGTTTGTACTAGCAAACAGTTTTCCCAGATGAGGACACGCATGATGGGATGGTTCCATCTGTTGCATGGTCAAGATCTCTTAGCTAGAAAGGAACATGGAGGAAACATTAAACAATTTTATAAACATGTGTCTGTGAAGAAAGAACTCAGAGAACACAATGGTATATTGCACATGTTAAGTCAATTTAATATATGTCACTGTCGAATTTTAAATTGTGTCCATATAAAATATTGTCAAATATTAATTTTAATTAAATAAAGCTGTTATCACTGCTACATTTTGATAATATTCCATTCAAATTTTGAACTGGTTTTTGTGCAGGGGGTGTTTTAATTCCCAAAATAATTTAGACATACAATTTTATTAAGAGAAAGATACAAGGACAAGAAGTTATAGGTATATTTGAAAAAAACAACATAAAAACTAAATGAAAATTGTATTTCTTTATTACTGCTTAGGACATAATTGTGAGTGCTTGAAATCGGCTATGTGGCAGTTCGTGCAAATGGATAAAAATGCTGATGATGAACTTACTGACACAGAAATGTCATTATTGGAGGAAAATAGCTTGGAGCCATGCATGCAGCCATACCTTACATCCTGTGATCTTAACGCTGACAGCAAGCTCTCCAGCAATGAATGGTGTTGTTGCTTCTCTAATGTTGGTGAGTTTGAGGTTTACTTTAAGTTTAAGCTGATGGTTTCAGTTGTGTATTGGTTGAATTTGACAAGTATATAAGACAAGTATAAATTAGAAGTTTTCTTCATTTTCATATGTAAATTTGAGAGTTGATTAGTCCCCTTAAAATACATATAACGTTAGATTTTGTTTTTTCCACTTAAATAAATATTTTTTAACCCACAAACTGCGGTAGGTTGATTAAATCTGCCGATTTCCTTTTCCTGCACTGTTGGCGGATAAGATCGGCCAATAAAAATTGCGTTGAAAGAACAATTTCCAGTCCAATATTTTACACTAAATAAAACTACTTCCTTTTAATGATAAATAAACTTCCGTTTTTCGCTCTTGTGTCCTTATTTTAAATTTTGGAGTTATTTTTTAAAACGATCTTTATCAAGCAAATTTGTGTAAGTAGATTTTGAGAAATCGATGAGGCCATAGCTGAACCATCTGGCTTACAAAATAAATCAGGAATCTTTTTGATAATTATTTTTAGTTAATGACTTAAGGGATTCGAGAGATGATTTTCCAATCACTCATGAAGAGAATGATAATTCCGATTATTTTTCTAGTGGGTCAGAAAGCGAAAGTTCGGACGATTTAGACCTAGGCCTAGAACGAGTAGGCGTTGCCACAACAATAGGGCTCGTTCAAAACTATGTTGCAGACGATTTTGTACCAACAAAAAATAATTGGATGTTGATCTATATATGTTTTCTTATATTTCATTTTATGGATTAAATATTTATATAGCAGCTTTTTAAATTTATCTGTTTCTTCTTGCTATTTTGTAATGTTTATATTGTTTATGTTGTGCTTGGTTACTTGAATGTAATTATAGGTATCAGAACAATTATTTTGTTAAAAATCTATTAATAACTAACACTTATACAAATAATACATTTTCTGTAAGATAAATACAAAATACATTATAATAATATGCCTTTTAAAAATTGTAGTTTGAAGTACTTGAAAATAAAACTTTTCATTATTTTCTTTATTCTTGGTCACTCCAAGGTCCTGGTCACGTTCACAGGGTGTAACATAGCATTAACGAAATAGCCAATATGATTCCCCACTCAGTCTAATTTCCATAAATATATACTTTATGGGGTCTAGCTATAGTATTAGCATGTGAAAAAATCACCTTTTTCAAAGGCACCCAAAAAGCTCTAAATTCCCAGCACAGTACAGAAACATAACATACACAGTTCGTGGATTAAAGTGATTAGCAGAAGTTCTCTTACATTTGAAAAATAGTCACGTGTAAAGCAATAAAGAAAAAAAGTTTGCCAAAAAGAATCCATCATCTTGTAGAATATAAAGAAGCACTATGTTTTTCATAACATGTAACATTTCTTTACAGTTGCCCCTTGTTTCAAGAAAGTCGATGAGATAAGGAAGTCCGGAGAACCAGGTATGGACATGTTTTTATTTGTAAGGAGAACAGCAGCTGTATGTCCTCAAGGATTTTCAGTCATAGTAATGATTTATGTTCATTTAAATATGCTGATAAATCTTTATAAATGTGTTTACTTTTTTTTCAATTTAGGTAATTTTAGCATGTATTTATTGTTTAAAATGAAATATTTTCTCCTTATAAAGTGGCTTATATACCTCGTTGTGATCGGGAAGGCTACTATATGCGTGAGCAATGTGAGGGAAAAGAAGAGGACAAATTTACCTGTTGGTGTGTTGACTACAATGGAAATGAAACCAAAGGAACCCGCACTAATGGCCGTGCTCACTGCAGTAAGTCTTATTTTATGTAATTTTTATTCCTTTCTGGTGTTATACTATACAGGGCGGCCCAGAAAAAATGAAATTATCTCTTAATAAAGGGTAATATAATTGAATTAATATAATGTTTTCTCATTAACAGTTGTACGAAAATTATAACGCATTTTCAATTTTCAGCTTGAACGCAGTCCTTCATTTATTATCCTTTTCTTTACTTGCAGTTGTCAGGGCCATCATATGACTTATTTACACTTTAAACACCTTTGCTAGAGATATTGGTCTGAAAATTTTACTTATCTTATGCTAATTGTAAACCGTGAAAGTTCTATGAGCACTAGGTCACTTGGCTTAATGAAAGTTTTCTTGAATATGTTGGTTGACTCTTAACAACCAGGGTTGCAAAGAATGTTTGGTACAGGAAAAGTGATGTGGTAAACCATTTACAAATTTAGGACTGAGGTTGCAAGTTGGGTTGATCAGATTAGGATCTGATGGGGATGGGTCATAGGATATACATTCATGGTCAATAAACATTAAAATTATGTCTGTTATAAATTTTAACATTATTGATAACAAACGTGTCATACATTTTCTCAGTAGTGATAGCCAATACAACATATTTAATTTGTATCTAAGCAATATTTAAAATGTGTATTTTGCATTTGTAACGGAGACTAAAGATAATTAATAATATATATTTTCATTTTGGTAACACATTTTTTTTTTTTAAATTCGAAGTCAGTTTTAACTTTAATGATCAATAATAAATTAGTGAACATTTAGAGAAAATTTGAATAAATAATTAGTTATATTTTCAAGCTATTTCTGTTGCATGCCACCATAGTATGAAAGTAAAAGTTTTTTATTTAAAAATTAGATAAACACACAATTTTTGTTGACACAAATATTTCTGACCTCAATAAAAAAAAATGTACAAGAATAATTCATAAAAATTAGATATCTTTATATAACACCACCTTCAATTTCAATGCAATATTAATAATCTTTTATTGTTGTTGCTCTACAGGTAAAATTGCAATGAATGGTACCCGGAAAGTTAAAAGTGCATAAGGGCTATCAGCATTACAAAAATAACTTTTATTGAATTACGGTATTTAGTTTAATCAAAGAATCTTTGAAAATGTATCTTAAATTTATTTTATTTCATAAGCTGTTCAATTATATTTTTTGGAGCAAAATCAAATTTTACAAACATTTTACTTTTGCACTGTACTATTTATAATGAAATATTGGTTTACATATTATCCTTTAAACTTTATTTAAACTGGGTTAACTATTTCATTACCAGATGTAACCTTTTGATTCACACAAAAATCTCATTTAGTTCTCAAACGTTTTATTCTACATATAAGCATTGCAAAAATTAAAAGAATTAGTTAAGAATGGAGTCCTTTGAATGAGATTTGTTTGTACCAGATATGATTTCCTGTATATTCTAATTAAAATTAGGGTCTAGTTGTAGGATGTCCTAGAATAATAAAACAACATATTTTGTCTGTCTGTGCAGATCTAACTAAACAATTCATTCCAAATTAATAAATGTAAATACTAAAAGCAAACTCATTCCAAAGCTTAGTAAATAAAATTTAATTAGGCAATACTCACTTATTATTACTTATTCTTATGGCCTTTTCTCTTTTTTCCCATTTGCTATGAAAGTTTTATGCCATATTACTTAAAGAGAATATTTATATCAAAGCAATCTCTGAATTTTTTTTAAATGTATTTTTTGCTACATGTGAACAAAAATATCTGTTTACAGTCTAGTATCTCATGTAATGCTTATTAATTAATTTTAAAAAATAATGTTCAAAGTACATAAGAACATATTTTTCCAATGTATTTACTAGTCATTTATTTTATGCATTAACTAGTAGTAACAGTTTTATGCTTTGAACAAAATGTGTGATCTATTTTTTAATATTATTGACAAAACTATTATCGTTTATATATCTCATGTATGGCTTTATGGAATATTATTTACTTTATCTTCAAGTTAGCTTGTCTGCAATTTTAATATTTTTCCTTTTTACAATATTTTTAAATAATGTAGATATATTTACATTTAGCGTAAGAGTCAGTCTTGGGCACCCGCTCTGTAAGGAGCCATTGAAATATAGTGTACGCCGAAAAAATCCGATTTTCTACCCCTCCCCTCCTTTTGCATGCATTCTTTTTTTGGACCCCTCCCCATGCATACAATGAGCTTTCAACACTCGACAAAAAAACAACACATGAACAAAATCATTTAATTTACAAAAAATGAAGCATCATAGTAAAAAAATGTGTCACTGATGCAATATCAGCAATTACCAGACTATACAGTGCAAACAGTGACTCACTTAGTAATTACTGTTTGCAGCTTCTAGATGATGCGTAGTGACATACATAGGCATTTTATTTATTTTTACCCACCCTTTATATATATATTTTAATGTGTTCGTTATTTCAAAGTGTATTAGTTAAAATTTAACACAACAGGGGCCTGGTAAAGAACTGAATTTGGTTAGGGCGTCATATATTTAAAATTTTAGGAATCACTGGTGTAGTCGAACAAAGTACATCACAAGCTTGTTGAAAATACAGTGGGACTAAATATTAATATAACACTACTACTGAGTAGTATTCAAGTGATATCTTAGTGAATTCAAAAAGTAAAATGATGATAATTCCTATGAAACTTTGCATGACATTTTTAAAGCATTAGAGATATAAATATGCTATTTTATTTATGGCTGTCAGAATATCAGGATGATTTTGTAGAAGTTGGGAATAATTTACGTACTTTCTGCCCAACACCCACCCCCATACGCAAACATACTCAAAATCTAAAAAATTGCTCCCATCACCCTTTGTTCACCTCAGTGCGTTTGGACTATATGGATGGCCCCTAAACTTTATCGACCACAAATGAATAAAATAAAATTGTTAGTCTTGAATTAATTTCCCTGTATTTTTAAAGCTGATTATTATACAGGTACTGAAGTATTTTTTTCTTCAATTTCTTTGGGAAAAAGAACTCAAAGCATTACTCGAATTCCTGTCTTCCATTTTCAACCATCTATGATAAAAATAATAATTTAAAAGACCTGTCAATAAATGTTTATGTTACAGTTTATGTCTTAGACTAGACTAAGAGTCAAGAGGAAATATTTCTATATCATTTTATGTCTCAGAAAAATAGAGCTTTAATTTTTTTCTTGTCATAAATTTCAAATGTTACTAGTTATGAAAAGGTGATTGCAAATATTTTTCAGTGTATCGCAAATTTTAAAACAACGAATTCTGTTTTAATTTATTTTTTAAATAAAAGAATTATCACTTTCTACGGAGCACTATTCCTTTTTCTTGTTTTTTTAATAAAAATTCTTGAGCTATCTCAACATAAAGGATCGACATTTCTTAAGATGACATTTTCTATTTTAAATTATATATTTCAGTCATTCAAACCAAATTTTATCTTACAAATTTGATTTTACTTTGGGTATATAAAAATATAATTATAATTACTTATGCATTATATTTAAAAATTAATTAAAATTTAGTCAATAATAACCTATTTTTTTATTTTCTGTTTTAACAAACTTGGATTGTGCAGTGTGATGAGTGTTACATACTACATACAATGTTTAGTTTTTTAAAACTTGTTTTACTTGTCAAGTCTATTAGAAAAATAAAGAATAATTTTCATTGGCTTAACTTGTTTAAAACTGTGTAGAACATCCTTATTTCCATTTGCACTTAATTTAAGAAAAGCTTCCAATTCCATTTACAAAACTATATTTCAGATCTGTTGAATGACAGTGAACAATTACTTTTCGGTTTAGATTTTAGAATACCAGTCGGCAGTATTAGTATTGATATTAGAATACTGATATATACTTTCCTGGCCCACTGATGAGTAAAGCTCTATAATTCTTCTTATTTATGAATATATCAGACATCTATTTTTCTATTTAAACTAACTAGCAATAAAAAGCGCATTTGAACTTTATTGGTTCCATTCGTTAACATACCTTAATTAATTAATTCAAAGTCAACACAGTTAGTTCAGTTAGTAGTGTTTGCAAGGTTAAAGTTTAACTTTCTTTTGAGACATTGAGAGCTTAAAACCAATTTTTTTTTTTGTTTAAAGTCCAAAACAACGTTAACAATGGCAATATTTCACTGTTTACGGATGGCCTAGCAATCCTCAAATATGTTATGGGCACGTTTAATCTTATTGCGTAAATGTAATGTAATACCTGTTTTGATAATTAGCAAGTTTTTTTTCCACGTCATGTGTGCTTGATCACATGACTTCCCTGGCTTCCAAAATGGCGACCATAAGTGAAGAGGTTGTTTTGGAAGGAGAATTTTTCCTCTATCCAAAGAAAAAAGGACTTTATAAGTTGACTTTAACACGCCATCGTCTCTTTTTCAGCCCTATTTCAAACAACAGCACAACTTATGAGGAGCAAATTATTCAAATAAGTGACATAGTCGGATGTCATTGTTTAGAAAAAGGAGGAAATGTCATACTTGCTGGCGCCGCAATGACAGGTTCAAATGAGCCAAACAAAACCTCGTCAAGTTTACTAGAAGCAGATAATTATGAGCCTTTAGAATTTCCAGGTCAAAATTTCTTTAAAGTATCTGACCCTGCAACATGCGGAATCGTTATATATGCATATCCTTTCAAAAGAAAACGTTTCAGCAGTAAAAGAACTAGATGTCGCCAAGTAATAGCATTTGAAGTTCCATCATCACCATTAGAAGTGTTTGAAGAAAGAAAAAAAGAAGCACTGAAATGGAAAACTGTAATGAACATTTTAACTAGAGATATCTCAAATAGTTCAGTAGGTAAGGTGTTTTAAAGAGCTTTAACAATTTATAGTATCATTCAGATATATCATGGATATTCTAGTCTAGCATACACCCCCAAGTCTTAGTTTTGTTTTGGAAAGAACCTGAAAAGTTCAAAGCCTGCTCATAAGCAGATTCCATAAAATATATGGGATCCAGGGTTGCCCATATATTGCTTGAGGTTTCATTTTAAAAATATCATGGGACCTAGATTTTCCCAGATTAGATATTAATTGAGGTTTCATTCAAACAAATGAAAATGACCTCACGTTTTTTTCTCTCCCTCCCACCTCCAAATCCCACCATCAAGACATTTCTAATTGGGTGCTACAGCCTAGAGGAAAGCTTCTTATCCTTATCAACCCTCACAGTGGCCCTGGAAAAGCTTATGTAATATTCAAGAATGAAATTGCACCTATGCTTTTTGAAGCTGACATTCCTTATAAGGCCATCATAACAGGTAATACAGCTTTTCTGTCAATGTAATTATATTTGAAAACAGAATTATTGTTGAAAGATAAGTTGTAGAACTTGAAAGCCTATTAATGTTAAAGCCTGGTTGATGTTTTGGATTTCATTTAGTTTAGTCTTAATTGTATCCAGAATAACAACATCTATCATCTATGTGTGAGGCATATTGATATTAATTATTCATGTCTTATTGAACCTATGGGGGGCCATTGTGGTGCCACAGGCAGGCTTTTTTTGTCAGAGCAAATTTTTATACGCTCCGGCAAAATTAAAAAGGCGGAGGGGTGGTTTAGGAGAATGCTAAGTGTATTAGGAGAAATGTGTTTATTATTTTCACTTCCGCATCTTATTAACTAGGCATTCGAAATTTATGTACCAGCAGCATGTGGGGCAACATAGCTGGTAGAAGTATAGGGGATACATTTTAATAAATTTTAAAAACACACATATTACATTTTTGGGAGCTCAGAGCAGTAAGACATTTTACCAGCTCAGCTCATAAAGACACTGCTCCAGAGCTCCACTGCAGATCCCTGGCCACAGGGCCAATGCTAAACAGTAGGGGTGAGAAAAGGGTGCCAACATTTTAGGTCTGTCAAAATATAATTATTTTATGAGAAGATTAATGGGAGATTGAGATAATTTTTAAAATGAGTATAAATACAACTTGGTTAAATTTAAGATATTAAAGATACACTCTCATTAGCGTCTTAAAAAAAAATCTAATGTTAAAATTTGTTATATTCATGATTATAGTTTTACTTTTACCTTTCAGATAGGCCTATGTTACTCAGAACAAAATAATCTAATGAAAATATTCTGGGTGGATTTAGTTTGTTTTAAGTAATAGATGGCGTTGTTTTGTAAAGTGCAGTAGGGCCCCTGACATACTAATGCTGGCCATGTTTCATATTTGATGCCTTTCGTGTAATTTTATAAAATAAAATAAAACATGAAGCCAACAGAACAGCGGGTGTAGAGTGCAAAAGACATGTCAGCCTCATCATCCATCGGACCACCCACAGCCAAGTTCACAATTAGCAAATATGATGATTAAGGTGGTCATAGATTTCAACTGATTACACTAATATTTTTTATAAAAGTTGGCTTTTTCTTGGATTGTACAATGACACAAATGTATCGCAATAGTACTATGTATACGGGTATATATAAGACATTGTATTTTGACTAAAGTTGTAGGAAGAAATAAAACTACCATATTTAAATTATTTTGACAAAAACAAATGTTATCCATTTATTTTTTCTTAAAACAGATCATGCAGGTCATGCTAGTGAATTGTTAAAGGAAATCAATTTGTCAGATTGGTATGGAGTTGTCATAGTTTCAGGAGATGGACTTATCTTTGAGGTTTGAATAAGCTTCTCCCTTCCATTTAGATCATTTATCTCATTATAATTATATGTATTGTTATTAAAGCTCAGTAGTTCTTACAATAATGAAAATCATAACTCTTAAAATAAAAATTAAAAGATGTCTGCTACCATACCAGTTTATGTGAATGCAACCCATTTTAAGTTCTAGATAATATGTGAACTATCAGACGTCCTAAACTATGGTAGAGTACCGGTACAGCAAGTAAAAAGACAGGAGCAGTCTATTCAAACAGCGTTTTAAGTCCACATGTTGTGTTATACTATGTGTTGTGTAATACTAATGCAATCAGTCTAAATTTAATTATTTAAAACATAATTAAATATTCTACACGTGAAAAAATCCACATTATAAATTCTCAAGAAAACTTGCTTTAAGTTTAACCTCCTATACCGGTATCTAATAATAATAATTCACAAGTGGCTCTTGTCCGCCCCGATCTCATTGCTGCGGACCACGATGTGCTTTCATTCCCATCCACCCCCAACCCCATTGACAATGTGCAAGCCATGCCTAAAAGAAAGGCAAATGAAGGCACTGAGTTGAGAGATAGAAGAGTTTTGAACACTCGTGGGATATTCACAAACGCCATTTGGAATTATTATTAGGGGTTGTTTGCAAATTACGTCACGCAAAAAGTGACCTTTTTAGAACCCCCACCGCCACAAATTCTTTTAAAGCCAAGCACCACACCCCCCACCCCCCGTGTCACATCACACCTAACAAAATCAAAACAATCATACAATTTTCATAACTAAACTAAGATTTTATTTTATTCTTTAACATTTCCCCATAATGAATTAAGATTTAGTATTAATAGAAAAATGTGACGCAAAACAACAAAGTCATCCACAAACCGAATGTTAAATGGCCACAACAGTTTTTGTGTCATTTTTCGATAAGCGCAAAAGGTGGGCGCAACTGTGTTTCACAGTACCGGTACTTATAATACCTGAGGCAATTTGGACCTCAAATTAATGTTCTAAAAATGAATTGAATAAAGATTTTTAAAAATTATAAAAAAAAAAAAATAAATTATAAAATAAAATTTATTTTAAAAATTTTGACGTCACAAATTTTAGACCCCCCATAATGACGTTATTTTTGAACAACCCCTTATAGATTATGCACCTCTTCCTGTAATATTATTATTTTTTATCCTGTTACTAAAAGGTGGGCGCAACTGTGTTTCACAGTACCGGTACTTATAATACCTGAGGCAATTTGGAACTCAAATTAATGTTCTAAAAATGAATTGAATAAAGATTTTTAAAAATTATAAAAAAAAAAAAATAAATTATAAAATAAAATTTATTTTAAAGATTGTGACGTCACAAATTCTAGACCCCCCATCATGACGTTATTTGTGAACAACCCCTTATAGATTATGCACCTCTTCCTGTAATATTATTTTTCTTTATCCTGGTACCAGTAATTAAAATTAATAAACAACTTGCTTTTACATATGTACTAGAATTTATTTAAAGTTAAAGTTTAATTTCAATCATCAATGCAATTTTGTAAATACTGGGAGACGAAGCATCCCACTTTGAAGCGACTGCTCAATAATTTGGTTAATTTTAAAATTATATTACAGTTACATTTAAATTTTGTAAGTTTCCTGCATCAGGAGTATGGGGTACTTAAACTTATAATTTTTATAAATATATTTGTATCAATGATCAATCAGTTAATGTATATTGGCCTGTGTTGCTTACGGTTGAAACGGGATGAAAGACTTTGACTTGGTATGCTCGTATGTAGCTTTATATTGTTGCGTCTGTTTTTTAAATGTGGTAAATTTCAGATTGTTTTATTTCTCTTTATAATATGGTTGACTTTGTACTGCGCCTCGAGCTTTTGGGGATGAAGTGTGGTTTTCAAATAAACTTTATTATTATTATTATTAATCAACAGACCATAAATGGCATCATGCAAAGAGATGACTGGGCATCATCTATAAATATGCCCATTGGATGTTTACCTGGTGGCTCTGGAAATGCATTATGTTGTGCAATTAACTATGCTGCAGGGCAAGTAGGATTTTTCTCAAAGGGGACATCAATCAATAATAATAATATTTCCTAGCAAAAGTCAAATTTAAGCGCCCCCCCCCCTGTTGCAACCCTCCATGGGTTTCTAAATGAGTTCTAACCTCCAACCCCCATAAAAATCAATCTATTTATAAACCTCTACTTTATGACATCATTCTAAACAATTTATTTGTAGTCAAGTCACCCCAAACTATTGTTTCCTTACTCCTGTCGTAAGCCCCACAGAGAGGCAATTTGAAGATTGTATGACAATGCATAGGGAAAATAAAAGTGGGGGGGGGGGGGGGGTTCAGCCCAACGGAGGTTTTTTTTTGGGGGGGGGGGGGGATAAATTTTTTTTTACCTAGCGCTAAGTGATTAAACCTAACCACGCCATTGCTCAGGGATGTAAGAAATGTATTTGCCATTCAAAAGGCCAGGGGGTGAGTTGTGTAAATTAAAGGTACCGGTAATCTCCTTTGTTCAATTTATTATGTATTATAATACTGGTAGGCAGAGGCGTAGCGATGGGGGGAGGCAGATGTCCCCGGGCGCAAGCTACTTAGGGGCGCCAAAATGTGCTTTTATATTATATTATTGGTAAAAATAATGGGTTTTAGTTTTAGAGTTGAAAAAAAGAAAAGGGGCGCTTTAAAATGGATCTTGTCCCCGGGCGCCAAACACGCTCGCTACGCCACTGCTGGTAGGCCTACCCGGTACAAATATATTTCAGTTCAGGCAACGTCAGTTTTACTGAAGGAAGTAATTTTAATACGGTACCAGTAATTGAAATTCAATCCTTACAATTTGTATGCCGGAAATGGCAGCATGTTCGTGGTTGGGGTTTAAGTTAAGCCTATTTACGTTTGGGAAGATTTGTGGTAAAGCTTTCAAAATTTTTATTTTTGGTAGTTTCCAACCCAACCCCCTATTGCTAGAGTAGCTGTTTGGTTCAATCAGACGGAACAATTTTAATTACCAGTGCCGGTATGACACTTCACAAATACATCACAATCTAAATATTACCGTAATAATATTACTGTTACTGTTGGGAGTTACGGTACTAGCGAGTTATTGGTGAAAACACAGAGCAACAGTATAGTATAAAGATATAATAAAGCCTTGTGGTACGTCATGTCATTGGTATTAGTATAGAATAGAAATAATGTATTTCAGTTTTTAAGGTGACAGTGACAGCTGGCTTTAAAAAAAATATTACTGGTGCCGGCAACTGTTACCGTACATAGTACTATTAGTTAGTTTAGAACTAATAGTATAGACCCAGGATATATTTGTATAGGGTAGTGTCGGCTACTGGTACCATAAATGCACATGATCCCGGTAGCAATATTATTATTGTTGCTTCCTCCCTCTAACCACTCAATATGGTCAGTAAATTTTATTCCTTTCAGGGTACATTTAATTTTAATAATAAATAATATAAATTATTGTTGGGGTAATTAATAATTATTAAGATGTTTACTGTTCAGTTATTCTATAATACTGGAACTAATAGTAATAGTATAAAGCAATAGTAATACTAATAGTCATTCTGCCATTTGTTAAACTTTTCAACAGAGAGCCACTTGATTCATCCATGGTACTACATTCCACTTTTATATTGGTAAAGCACAAAGTCATTCCCATGGACCTTGTTATTGTTCAAATTCCAGACAATACTATTTTCTCATTCCTATCAGTCACATGGGGAATTATGGCAGATATTGACTATGAGAGTGAAAAATATCGAAATCTAGGGGAGGCACGTTTCACTATTGGAGCAATCAAAAGAATCCTGAGTAAATGCTTTTTCTTAACATTTCTTACACTTAAGAAATCGACTGGTAACTAGATCAGAAATTTATTTTTCAAGTTACAAAAAAATCTATCTTCTCTAAAATTATGATCCTGTTAAATTTTGAAATGTGCATTTGTAATTAAAATTATATGCAGCTAAGAAAAAAAATAGAATTCTTCACTTTATAGCTTTGATTAACTTAGAAAATAATTTCAATAAATATATATTTTTTTTATATCATTCAGGTCTGCGCACATACAGGGGCCGTATTTCTTTCTTACCAGTGGCAGAATACAATCCTCAAGATCTCTCCAACTCTAAAAAGGTCCTTACAAAAATCCGTAGATTTTCCCTGAGGAGCCGAAGCAGTAGTAAAAGCACAAATGATTCAGCAAGCAGGACAAGTAATTCTCCACGTATGCTTACCAAGCGTTGCTACAGCATGGACAACAGTGGCTACAGTGAACACCAGTTGCGAATGGCAGAGGGGGACACAACCCAGGTTCAGGCAGATGAAGCTCTCAACATACATAATGGGAAACTTGAACTGGGCCAAGGAGAAGAGCAGGAATCAATGCAGAAACTTTGTGCTGGTCTTACAGTTACAGAGAATAAACAATTCACTGCATGTGCAGAAGCAAATGTGGAAGGAGCAGCAACAGCTAATGGATTAGAGAATTCTATAGAATTGCCCCATAACAAATATAACCATGGTGGAGACGAAACTTACGAGGAACAGTATAAAATGACTATCTTATCTGAAACTCAGGAGGTTAATGTGGAAGAGGAGACATACCATGGAAAGAAATCAGACTTTGGACCAGTACCGACACCTCTCTTGACGCCACTAGACAAGGAAGTCCCAGAAAACTGGGTGAAAGTTGAAGGGGAATTCATACTAGTAGCTGCGGTATATCAGACCCATTTGGGCAGTGACATGCTCGCTGCTCCAGATGCTCATCTAAACGATGGTCACATTCACCTTATGATAGTCAGGGAAGGAATTTCAAGAAATGCTCTTCTCAATCTGTTTCTATCCTTTGGTCAAGGCAGCCATGTGCACTCTCCATATGTTGAAAGTGTCAAGGTTTTAGCTTTTCGATTAGAGCCAGAGACCTCCAATGGTAATATCATGATTGATGGTGAGAGATTTGACCCCAGTCCTTTACAAGCACAAATACTTCCTGGCCTGGCTCGAGTAATGGCAATAAAATAACACATATTTAAGTCTCAAGTGCCTTAGGTTAAATTTAAATGCAATAATACTACTAATACTGTTGGCGCTAAATGCTACCACTGGAAACAAAATAACTGAGGGTTTTTTCTTTTTTTTTTACAATTTTAATGGCTAAAGACTTATGTAATGAAAATATTATATTGTATTTCATATATATAAATTTGTGCCTTACAATTTGTTGTTTTACCGATTCTACACAATTAGTACCGGTACTGTTTAGGCTTGCTGTCACTTTTTATGAAACACCCAATAAAATTAATAAAACTATTATGAACCAAATTGAAAAAATTAATTTTTGGAAAAGTATATATAATATAAAGAATAACAAAGAACAGAAATAACTTGATTCCATAAGTTTATTAATTAAACAGCTTAAAACACCACCATACAATGGCAGACCTGTGTCTAATTTTATGCCTTGTAACCTCTGCTCTTTCTGCGACCACGAGCACGTTCAAACTTGCGGCCTTTAGAGCGGACAATGGGTCTGAAAAGATTTTTTTTTAAAAGTTTTAAAGCCAATATATGCAACAATAAACTTGCAATGACATGGGTTCGAATGGCAAATATTTTTTACATTATTTACCTGTATCTTCACTAAAAATTGAAATATGGATCATCCTTAACTTTACCCTCTGCCATAAGCACCCACTCTTGCATTTCTAATTCCCACCAGCGCCTGCCTACAATATCGGTATGTGGCATGGATGGCCATTCTTCTACTAAAATGAACTTCTGCACTCGCTATTGAAGCTTTTTTTTTTTTTTTTTAAATTTTTCTTTTTTTTTCATCCTCTTTTAACAGGAGAGAGATTAAAGTTCATCATAGCTTTCCAAGCTCATTCACAAGATGAAATAATCAGATATGTTATAATTAATTAAAATGATTGCACAAGGTAATTACGCATCTGTAGGGTGACCATTCCCCATTATAAAAAATTCACAGAAAGTATTTTATAATGATTGTGACATTTCATTCTTTTTTTATATTTAATAAAAAAAAAAAAGTAAATATTAATGATGTTTTAAATTCTATTTTAATTACACATTCTTATGCCCCTTTGCTTAGACAGGAGGGCAAGTTTTAGGTTAGGCCAGTGTTAGGCAAACTCAGTCAAAGAGCTGAAAACAGAGTCAAAACTGATATATGGCTGGCTGGCCGAGCCACACTCAGGCTAAAGAGCTGCATGGGTCTCACTGACCACTGGGTTAGTCCGAAGTCAATTAAAATAACCGCTGAGAATTTTTTTAAAAATAGGGACACGCTAAGTATTAACTCTGTTCGAAACAACTGTTAACATGTAATAACCAGTGCATAAAAGAATTTAAAAATCTCATCTTTCTTTTTTATATGTAATATCAAGGCAATCAGCCTCCTGTGAACATATAGGTATAATTCATTTTCAAGGTAGAGTGGATGTTTTAAAAAGACATGCCAGTTAAGATAAATATAGACCTAATTCAAAGGACTAGAAAATTTATCAAAGGTAGGAAACTAAAATGGTACTTACGCAGTATGGCTGTGTGGCACACCAGGAGCCAATCCAAAGTGTCTGTATGCCTTGCGAGATTTGCGAGGCCCTAAATTCAACAGACAGAAAAATTAGTTTCCTGTGCACAAAAAAGTTTTACAAAAAGAGCATATAAACTATAACCAATTAAACATTTCATAAAATGAAGTTTTTCTACCTTGGACAAGAACAGTATTTTGACCCTTTGGGGAGCGAAGAGCCAGCTGATCAAATGTCAGGATTTCACCACCTGCTTTCAGGATGCGTCCTCTTGCACGCTCAGTTATGCGAAGAGCACAAATCTGTTGAAGAATGAAGTTTTAAAATGTAATATAAACATCTCCCCATATGCAATACTGTTAACCGAGACAAGCACACAATCCCAATTATGTTAATACCTTGAGCTTTGGTAATGCGTGAATGCGAATATCATCAGTGATGGCACCTACAACCACAGCAATCTTATCTTCACGGCCCTGCTTTTTCATCATACGAGCCTGGAAAAGATAAATTATGGGAATTATGATGATCCATTAGAACAAATAAAATTTTAAAAGTTTTATCTCCAGGAAATTATACTAAAAACTTCAAATAATATAGCTAGTGATTTACAAGTCCAAAATTCGTATGATACTTGACTTGTCAATTACTTGTTTTCCACATAAAAAGTATTGTCAGTGGTAAATTTTATTCCAGTACATAATAATGGACTATCCATGGACGTGTTAAATGTTGGTCTGACATCTTTTCTGCAGACCTGTTTAACCTGGGTTGGTTTCAGAGTAGTTTCCATCCCAGAGTAACTTAATTTCTAGCTTTAAAGAGTGGTTTGGGGGTGTGCTTATGTTTGCCACCATACAAGTTGTGCCAGGAAATCTGCTTAATTGCTTATGCAGGTTAACACAAATTAATATACAGGATATGGCTCTCTAATACGTTTCTAAAGGATGAGAAAAGGTCTTTGGCAAGCCCAAAATGCATTGACCACACAGACTTGATTGACCGATCGGCATGCCTGAACTAAAATTCATGACTATTGCAACACAACAGTTATTTTTTTTAGTAATATTAAAATGAAAACAAGTATGAATTTTTAAAATTTGAGAAAAAATATTAAAACGCAAAACATAATAAACTTAACCATATATATTTAGTAAATTTCCTGACATTGGAACACACTTTTCATCACTTGACATAAAAAGATTTTACGATTTTAAGTCCTGAAAAGGTTCAGCAATGTGTTTAATCTCTGTGGGATTCTATAACATGTTTTTAGCTAAGGGTACAAGTAGAAAACACCTCTAAAAGAAAAATTAGGTTGGTTGTTTTGAGATCGAGACCACAAAGGCCAATCACTGTTATTTTTATTCGATTGCTTATGGTTTAAAAAATTAAACTTTTTACTGCAAACAATCCAATTATTTATATTTTAATTAAAAATTAACCAAACAAACTTAAAAAACTACAGAAACCGTAGCTTTTTTAAAATGCGCGTCGTAGTGGAGCTGTCTTAAAAACAGCTACTACAATTTTACAATGAAAGCATAGGGACAACAAGTCTGTTTCTTCCCTTTACCTTTGTATTGGAGCATTTTTTAAATGCATATACTAAGCCTCCTTCTTCAAATATTTCGGCTAAATAAGCTTTATCAAACATAAAAACCTAGTTTGCTAGTTGGAAATGTATTTTACAAATTAACCAAGCTGAAAAATACATTATATCACACATTGAAAGATGCATCAATTTACTAATCTAAGAGTCAATAAAGACTTTAAATTAATACGGGGTGAGCTTACAAGTTTGGAAACAGATAATGGAGGCCTGTTTGTCCTGCTCATAAAAAGTCTCCTCAGTACAACCTTGTTGAAAGTGGAGTTGGTACGTCTTGCAAGGAAACGATACAACTGTGTAAAATAAAAAATAGTATTAGCAATTCATCTAAAAATTTGCTTTTTAAATCAATCTATCGGAACTGCTTAAGCAAGTAATATTTAATGAGAATGTTTGAACGAAGTGGCTATTCGGACCCGGGTCCGAGAAGTTAGAGTTTAGAGGTTGGGATTAAAATATTATCTTAGGTTATAAGACAACACAAAATTTGGTTTCATATGAGAGATAATTGAATGGACTATATGCTTGTAAACTTAATTCTTCAGTTTAACTAAAATAAACTACCACAAATGACACCCGAATAGTCAAAGGGACCCAGGGCCGAATAGCTGCGATGGGTTTCCGGTTCCATTTTGACTAAATGCTATTTTGATGTCATTTGTGGTAGTTTATAGCATATAGTATAGTACAATTATCTTTCATTTGATACCTAACTTTGTCTTACAAATCCTACAATAATTTTCAAAATATTTATTAATAAACACAAACTCTCACTTCTCAGACATAATTCATTTAAAAAAAAAAAAAATTATAAATGGCCTGATTTAGAGTGTAAATATATTATGGGTATGAGTTAAGGTTTTTAAGACTGATCTAGCTAGTGTTATTGCATTTAAAAGGAAAAAATCTAGTCCACCCCACTCCACACACTTACAGCCAACTTCAACATAAGTTTTGCCTTATAAACCTTTAGGCATATTTAATTTGCCAAAGACTCGAATGTCATAACTTGATTCAATAAAACTTTTAAGTTATTGCAAACTGGATAGGCTGTACTTACTGTACTGTAGCCAGTGTGGGCCACCACTGACTACACAACCTTATAGCAGTGGTTCTCAACCTTTCTAATGCCACGACCCTTTCATACAGTTCCTCCTGTTGTGGCGACCCCCAACCATAAATTATTTTCGTTGATACTTCGTAACTGTAGAGTAAATGTGTTTTCCGAAGGTCTTACGCAACCCCTGTGAAAGAGTCGTGACCCACAGGTTGAGAACCGCTGACCTATAGGTATAGGCCTGGCATTATGCACACAGCTTTGCATATAATGCTGAGTGTTATCTGCAGACTGAAATTTTCGTATAATGCAGAGAGTTACCTGCAGACTGACATTTTCGTGTAATACAGATAGAAATTTTGGCATAATTACGCAAATTTCTATAAACAATTAGGAGGGGGTAGTGTTAAGTAGTGTAGGATATAACAATATTCAATGAGTATGACACAAACCCATTTTAAAACAGAGTCCGAAGCTATGCACAAATTAAATAAAAAATTTAAATAAGTCTAACCATATAGCTTACTATCAATCATTAAGTCACACCATATTATAGGCCTAATATATTATAGTACGTGAATTTGTTATATATTATAAGGTTACTAATATATCCAGTCGATCCTCCTAGACATAACTCTAATTTTCTAGTATTTCTTATCAAATATTATACTAGTAATAAAAATATGTAGCCTAAGTGAGACTGGAAGTTTCCCTTTGCCTTGTAAGGGAGTGGGGAGTCAGTTGCATGTTTCGATTCTTCATGTAGACTTACATTTACCCAATTTAGAGAGGTCTTAAAACGATGTCAAATTTTGATAGGGTATCATTTAACTTCTTTTAAGCCCTGTTGTTTCACCTGGTCCAGAAATTTTCTGTTTGAAATAGCTGCCATGCCGTGCTACAGTGTTATGGTGCAGAAAGGTGGCCATGTGAGAGATCGGGAGGGGCAGCAGCGCATTCAACTAGCCAAAAGATTGAGTTTTAAGGCTGAAGCTATGCACAATGCACATAAACTTTCAACCAGTCACCCACCACACGCCCAGAGCATTTTATACAGACGTCCATTTTATTGCAGAGTTCTGGTCTCTTTGACAGAAATTCTGCGCATAATGCCAAGCGTTATCGGCAGAACACAATTTTCTAATAACGAGCATTTATGCTCACAGCTGTTGAATTTGAAAGGCACATATAGCAAGAAATGCCAGAAGTAATCTCATTAGCTAGTATGAAGCCCAGCCAACGTCTAGCCACTCTAGGATTGCATAATAATTTGGGCATTATCAACATTGTCTTTGATTTTTTATTTTTCACCTAATATTACAGCTACAAGGGATAAAAAATTCCAGGAAGCCAACTGTACAAAAAATATATAAAAAATACTGGGAATTTATATTTCAACGTTTTCAAAACTGCCATATTAAAAATTTGTGAAGTGAAGCAAAGCACCATGATTGTAACTTAGACTTAAATTTTAAGAACTAATTCTACTAAACTACTGACCAACCTCTACGTAAAGTCTAAGTTTGAACTGCCTTATGCTCGAAAAAAAAGACACCTGAAGAGTGTTATCACCGGTCAAATTAGTATTTTAAAATGATTACTAAAGAGGTAAATTACTACATTGTAGATAGGGTATACCCATTAAGTTACTTTTTTTTTTTTCGTACTTACCTTTACCAATAAACGTAGGTAAATATCCTGGCTCTTGGGTTCGGTCCTACGGACCTTCCTGTCATATTTGTGACAGATATCAATACCCTGTGGTTAAAATTAAAGATTAACATTTTATTTAACAATAGACAAAACTTTTGACTTAAATTATAACATAATTGGGACGATTTCAACAGATTATGTACATCATATTATTTATTTGTGTCTCACCATTTTCTGAGTTTCCGACTAAAAGGAAGTGCGTCAGAGAATTACTTTCCCTTGAAGAGCAGTAACTAACTTCCGGGGCAAGAAGAAACACTACTCCATTTAATTTGATAATGTACAGTCTATTGACTGTATATAAAACTATCATACCATGATTCTTATTAATTACCGTACCATTCTTGCACGGTTGACACAAAATTTTTATAAATAAAATAAATATTACTAAGTTTGATTGAAAAGTTTTCGTGGCTCTATATTTTATTATATATATATATATAAATATATGTTTTCTTGTTCGTTCAAATTTACAGTTCAGTTCATTTAAATTGTTTGAGTTTATTTTGTTTTACATTTTTAAATGACTTGGGCGATGGGAATTTAGTGTTTGCAATTCTATCTGTAGAGTCAGCGGACTGACTCTAAAAATTCTGGATTTCAAACAGGATAAAAATATAAAAAGCTTAAATGTTCATTTACAATATTATCACGTAGTCGTAGTGACCTCGGGAGAGGGGACTGTCACTCAAGTCACTGCAGTGGGAGTTTGTGACGCCCCTGGATAATCCTTGATTTTGCTAACGAACACCAGTACACCACTGAATTTCGGTCTCAGGCACACTTATTGAGCAACTCCGACTCAAACACCTTTGTATTTAAATCCAAAAAATGAATTCATAAATATCTTTAAATCTCACAAGTAGGCTATGTAGGCATAGTTATGACTAGTGATTATTTCAGAAATGTTCCCCCGGGTGGGGGGCACTTCAGATTTTTCGGGTGGGGGGGGGGGGCCACAGTGACAGTTGATTTATTTTTGGACATTTTTTTTGTTCCGGGGGAGGGGGGGCAGTGCCCTCCCGGAGATAGATCTAGGCCTATAGCTGAAAGAAACACTGGTTATGAAATGTTAAATATTATCTAAACTAACAGAGTAATTATCATTAAATATTGTAACGTAATATACTCTTTTCCCCAAAAATAAATTAATTGTGTTGTCATTTACTCTATAAAGTAATAAGTTCGGTGCATTTGTTAATGTTTATAGAGCATCTGCATCTGCTTTTGAAATAGCTTAGATTATTTGCACCCGTGTATCAGAAGTGAGAGGTTGGGATTATAAAACTATTTAAAATATTATTATTAGGTTTGTAAGACAAAATGAGGTATCAAATGAAATAAAATTGAATGGAATAGGCTATATGTTAGTAAACTTAATTCTTCAGTTTAACTAAAATAAACTACCACAAATGACATCCGATGGGCTTTAGTCTAAAGAGAGCTGGGTCCGAATAGTGGCTATGCTGAAAGAAACACCGCTTCTACGTAATATTGGATAATGTTATTGATGGAATCACTGTTCGTTTCAATGCTGCAGTCAACAGTTCGGAGAAGTTCCGCTTCCTAACAATTTCTCAAGATGAACTGAATGAAAAATCAAAATTACTGGCAGTTCAATTAGCACAATATACCAACAACAAAACAAACAAAAAAAAAAATTTAAAAAAATTACGTAGCGACATGGATATTTCCAGATGGACTTACCCGTAATCAAATTGACCCCGTACTCATTGACCAGAGGCATGGCTCGGACATATTAGATGCACAAAGCTGTAGAGGGGCAGACATAGAACCAGATACGTGTAAGAATCAATTGTAACATCCACAATAAACAAAATAAAAGAGAAAAAGAGTAGAAAAGCCAGAAATTAAGCGTGGACCCACAAATTACTGAGGAATATCAACAGAAGATTGAAACTCAACTAGAATTATCCAAAAGGGAATCAGCCAGCAACATTGATATGAACGAGCAATGGGAAAAGATGAAGCAAATAGTTAAAAGTGTAACAGAGGAAACGATTGGACTTAACCGGACAGTTAAAAGAACAGGATGGTATGACGCGGAATGCAGAAAACTTAAAGAAGAAAGAAACAATGCTCGGCTAGTGATGCTGCAAAGGGAGACAAGAAAAACACGACATTTATTTAACGAAACAAGAAGGGTGGCTACCAAAATTTGTAGAGAGAAAAAACGTGTTAGGGAAGAATAAAAAAATAGTAGAGATAGAAGTGTTGACAAAAGAAAGAGATGTGAGGGGAATTTATCTGAACATAAAGTAGGAAAAGAATGACTTTTAATCAAGATTACATATGTGTGAAAGTATCGGTGGAGAACTGATCACAGAGAACAGCAGAGTACTAGAGAGATGGACACAACACTTTGAAGGCTTACTGAATGGCTCAGGGGGATGAACCAATGAGGATTACGCCCCGCCACAAGGAGGACCGGACCCACTGGTCAACCTATCAACGCTGAATGAAATAAAAGATGTGATCTTTACCATGAAAAATTACAAAACCCAGGGATAGACCTTATCTCTGTAGAACTGATAAAACTGGGTGGAAACGAATTGCATAGGCAAATAAAATATCTCATATCCAGAATCTGACAGGAGGAAGAAATGCCAATAGAATGGGACACTGCACTTATAATCCCAATTCACAAAAAAGATCTAAGTTGGTCTGCTCAAACTATAGAGGAGCCCCTCCCCCGAAACCCCTTAATGTAATTACAAAATCCTCACAACATTTAAAGTAAGAGAACTGGAAATGTATAGTGAACAGATCCTAGGAGACTACCAATGCGGATTCCGGCAGAATAGGTCAACCACGGATCATTTTCTTACTATTAGATGTCTCCTGGAGAAATGCTACGCATATAACATTGACATACACCAACTAAGTCCCTAAAAAACTTACTCGGCTCATACATATGACGATGGCTAACTCCAAGAGTAGAATCAAGGTGCAGGGAGAATACTCAAGGGAGCAGTGGCGTAGCTAGGGATTTGGGGGGTGGATTTGGGGGGTGGATTTGGGGGCTCGGGGGCTTGGCCTCTTTAGGGGTCCCTGCATTTTGACATTCGACATTATTTAATGTAAAAAAAAAAATTCGGACACGCCTTTGGGGGCCCCCCTCAAGTAGGGGCCTAGGGGGACTTTCAAATTTGGACCCCCCTCCCCTAGCTACGCCACTGGGGGGTGTATGGGGGGGCTGGGGGGCTTGGCCTCTTTAGGGGTCCCTGCATTTTGACATTCGACATTATTTAATGTAAAAAAAAAATTCGGACACGCCTTTGGGGGCCCCCCTCAAGTAGGGGCCTAGGGGGACTTTCAAATTTGGACCCCCCTCCCCTAGCTACGCCACTGCAAGGGAGTTCCCAGTTACCAGGGCCTCAGACAAGGAGACTCACTATCATGTATCCCGTTTAACATCACGACTGGTAGATTTGGCAAGTCTCACTATCCTATTGAGTCTATTGTCACGGGCGACTGTTAGATTTGGCGAGTCTCAATATTGAGTCTATTGTAACAGGAGCGACTGGTAAATTTTGGCAAGTCTCTGTTTTGAGTCTATTGTAACAGGGGCGAATAGTAGATTTGGCAAGTCTCACTATTGAGTCTGTTATCACAAGGGCGACTGGTAGATTTGGCAAGTCTCAGTATTGAGTCTGTTGTCACAAGGGCGACTGATATCTGTTGTCACAGGGGGGACTGGTAGATTTGGCAAGTCTTACTATTGAGTCTGATCTTGTAAAAACGATTGTTTTTGATGATGTTATTCCCATATTTAGCCAGGGAATAACGCTAGGAAAGCACCTTTCTTTAGTAGAATATAAAATGCCATCACATCTCAACTATAATAACTGTCAACTGATATGCGCTTGTAATCAATCTAGTAAATTCTAGAATTAATGTCATTGCTTATGTAATTTGTTTTATTATTGTTTTTATAATCTTTTACAGAAGTAACTGTCCACTTTTTTAATATATTTTCATGTTTTAATGTTGATTTATGTGTACATGTCTAGGTGAGGGGTCCCATTTTTAGTCTTGCTCTAGTGCTTAGTAATGCTCTCGACGGCCCTGCTCCTTCAAGTAAAGCACTTTATAAGAATCCTAGGTAGTGCTAACTTCTAGGAATTTTTTGTTGTTTTTTTTCTTCTTTTTTTTTGTTGTGTGTGTGGCTATTGAACACAGCGTTATATCCTACCATTACATACCTCAAGAATTATTGTTGGTGATATTGGGAAAAACCAAAAAGAATTAAGGCTGTCAACATAAAGGAAATTCTAAAACAGAAATTTTGAGATTGTTCAAATGTTTTATTTGTCAACTGCAGATTAGCAGATTATCAGTTGATGAGAAAACAACAAAATATCTCTAAATACACTAAAGAAATCATTTTGATACACTCAAAGTATAAACAATAATTTAACAAACAACCGAAAAGCGATTTGATGTGTTATACAGCTGTATAATCATTACATGATAAAATAATCATTACATGATAAAATAATCAACAACATTCAACAAACTCAATGTGAGAAACTACAGCATTAGTGATATAACTACATCATTGGTTATATAAATACATCATTAGTGATATAACTACATCATTAGTGATATAACTACATCATTAGTGATATAACACATGTACAAGTCAACCAAGACATGTCCTTAAACGTAGTCAGTCTTAAGTTTGTACAGTCAAAAGAACACTTCCTCAGTTATATAAGTTAGGTCAGTCTTATGAGTTAAGTTTGCAGTGAGGGAAAACTTTTGATCAAAAGATGAGAAAGCACAAAGATGTTTTATGCTGAATGAAGATGTATAATGAAATATAATGGGACACATTCATGATGGAACATGAAAGAGGAGATCTTAACTCCAATGGCCATCCCTCACAGGCATTACAACAACTGATGCTAAAATTAAAGCAGGCCAAGTGTTGGTGCCATTTCTAGGATCATTTGCTGCTGCAGAAACATTTGATAACTTGTTGTAACCAAGAGATGAAATGACAAAGTCTTCACCTTGGATTTGTTTCAGTCTCTTTCACCATTTAAGTTACACAGAATTTCTAATTATCATTAAATAATGTTGCTTGAAATCATTTTTTGCAATCTTCTTAATTTAAATAAAAATTGGGACCAGCTTTGTTAGCTTGAAATTGCCCGTGTCAACAACTTAGCATCTGCTGATATTATCTCCCATTGGTCATCTAT